TTAAATATGTAGGTAGTTTACTTAGTGAATGACTCGTGTCTATATACATAGTCCTACTTTTCACTGTATGTTCGTTCCTGTCATCTTAGTGTAGTTCGCATTCGAATAATTTGTATAAAATCTATGCAGAAATTAATTTATCTGATCAAATGTCATTTGATTTTTAGTAAAATGAATTTTTTTTTTCTAGAAAAAAAAACAAAAAGACGATGACTGAGAAAATCTAAGTAAATCACAGTAAAATATAGAATGATTTGTCTTATTCTCTCATGTCTTGCAAGCTATTTCGAATCAATGAGATGAGCGTTTTTTGTTGTTGCTTTTGTTGTTGTTGTTCATTTATGTCTTACAATGTTATTGTTGTAAATTAATCATGTATAATTGTTTTAATAGATAGATGTATTCTTTATAAGGTACTGAATCAAGTTTACTACTACAAATTTACTATTGTTTTATGATCGTCGTGTTGTATGTTGGATTGATGTATGCATCTAACTACCTATTAGTACGTGTATAGATAGATAGGTAGATAGATATGTATATATGCACAGATCAACATAATTACTGATCTCTATTTTTGACAAAGTAGCTCTGTGTATATAAATAACATCTTGAGATAGAAAATAGTTTTTTTACATAAATTTTTACAGGCAGATATAGGTAGAGGGAGAGTTGAATGAAAAAAACATTTATATATATATGAGGGGTGAGGAAGGAATAGTTTTGACTATGTATGTATTCACGAATCAAACAAACTGAAAATGAGGATCAAATCAACAAACAATTATACTAAGCATAGTTTTTAGTCTACATCCCAACCACCCCCCTACTCTTACTAATTAACTATGACTAACTATGCACGTGCAATAATTAACTGAACTGAATAAATTTTCCGATTGAATCTTTTCTAATATTATAAAAAGTTTTCCATAAAACACCTGGGAGAACTTTATGCCTTTTCCTAGGCTTTTTTTTTCTCTTTTTCTCAGAAATATTTATTTCTGATAAATAAAAAAATCATTAATTAAGTAAAATGGTGGCGGGGGGGGGGGCGGCATCACCACCAGTGTTATTGTCATCACTTGCAAAATCGGTGATCTAGTACAATCAAATCAGTTAAACATTATCACAATCTTCAACATTAAGATTTTCTTATTATATTGAGAAAAAAACAAACATTTTTTTACTAATCGAATAAAATAAGGCTAATTTGTTCATTTCAAAAAATACTGATTTATTTTCTATTTGAATATAAACATATCACATTTGTATGATTTTATATTATTCATTCTGTATATATATGTAAAACAATGAAGTTTATGTATTCTAAAACATTAATGTACAACTAATCGGTGACACGTTGACTATATATATACATATATATGAACTTAATGTCCATACATGCAAGCATACATATTAACATGAATATATATATATATATATATATATATATATATATATATATATATATATATATATGCAAAGGACATTCAAATCTATAAAGTGGCATCACACATCCATATAAATGTATTCAGAATATTTACATCTTTATGATATCTAATCATGGTAGGCCAATAACAAAAAAAAACGATTTAAAAGTTGAAAATCAATATTGAACTACTAGTTATATACATATCTATATATCTATATATATAAACAATTCATACAAGTACTAATTTATCATATTTCTAACATTTTTAATATATTAATACTGTTAGAATTTATACAGTCAAAGTAATGAAACTTTTGAATTTTGCTTAAATAAAGTTAATTTTCAAAAATAAAAAAATTATACAATTTCGAAAGTTATTTTTAATCTTTGTAACTTGAAATAATAATTATGTTCACATCATGTGACTCTTAATTATTATTCTTCATGAAATTCTAATAATTAGTAAGGACAATGCAAACAATTTGTGGAATATGGCGGTGAAGTTGAAATTAGTATTGCTAATTTTTAAACAAAGTCGTTTTTATTGTGTGTGTGTGAGAAAGTGTTAATCAGTTAAGTACTCTAGTGAAAAATACGCAAGTTACTGTTTAAATAATTTTTTTGGGGGTTTTTCAAATATCATTAACAATTAGTACACAGCTTTATATAAATCATTTTGTTCGAATTCCAATGTACAGTAATAATTGTTGAGGATTAAGAATTTAGAAGTTAACTAACTGCTTATCTCTTAATATTCATTGTTCTGATCGACTTAATGAAATCTATTATTCAAGAAATTGGTAAAAATAAATTGCATGTCAGTTAACAATCGTATAAACTCAAAACAATGATAAAATCCTTTTGAAATTGAAATTTGAAAGATTTCGATTTATATCCTGAAACAAATTGCAGAATTGAATATCATCTTTTATCCTTACGCGTAATTCAATGAATATGTTCACTCTATGTTGAATAAAATTGAAATAATTAAACAAATTTAAGGAATTCATAAAACTATTGTTCTATTCAGTTTAATTATTCAACAAACAGTTGTACTGAATACTGTGTATATCGGAATAAATTTCTGTAGCGATGTAAGCAAAACAGAATAAAATTATCAGGGTAATGAAATAAGTAACAGTAAAAGAATACATCTGCGCCACCGTGATCGAGCAAAAGTCATATTACACAAGATCTTCAATTATTGATTACGATAATCCTAAATGGTCTCCTAAATGCTCTAGAAAGTGTTAATTAATACAGTTTCGTTGCATCTTGCTATCTCTCAGTTTGCTTTTAATTTAGGAAATATAGTTTATGCTGGTAGGCGTAATATATGATTCAACCATTTTGGTCGATAAAACTCGCTACCATATCAACTGGTAAACTGACATATGTAGATAATTGAGATAATAGTTTGTTATGATTTATCAAGCTTCTATTCACCATATCACTATAACCTATATTAAGCTGTTTTTAAATATAGGTACATTTATACTAGTAGTATATAAACGAACAGAAATGACTTTTCATACCTTAATTTAAGCCACTTCATCATACCAAATAAACGAACGACCTGGGTTTAAATTAACAAAAATTGCATTTGAAATCAGGAATTAATCATTGTTAGACCACTTTTAGAAACACGGAAACGCTGGACAACTGTTTCGTTCCAGAATGTGCGCATCCACAACCCTAACTTGAGGGAATCGAACCAAGAATTTTTGGCCCGGAGCGCGAATGCTCAACATTTAGATCACTGGGTCGACATCCAACAGTGTTAATGTCTAACTTTGATCTGTCTAAGGTATTACGCAACCCACAGGTTTAAATTCCATTGGTAACGGCTTCTCACCAGAACACCGAGAATTTCCTTACGATGCTAGTTACTAATGATCGACTCCTGATTTCAAATGAAAAAAGCAATCTCCATATTTGTACAACGAGTGTCATAAAACATGCTTATTAGTGACTAGCTTTGTGAGAAAATTGTCGGAGGTCTGGTGAGAAACCGTTACCAGTGGAGTTTAACCCTGTCGGGTGTAGGCAGTAACTACAGACAACAATGACTGAGGTCTCGTAATACATTGGACCGATCAAAAATAGACATTAACACTGTTAGATGTCCAATCAATGATCTAGAGGTTAGGCATTCGCGCTCGAGACCAAAGATCCTGGGTTCGATTCCCACTATTTGGGGTCGAGGATGTGTAGCCGAGTCAAGTTCTAGAACGAAACAGCTATCCAACGCTTTCGTGTTTCTAGTAGTGGTCTAACAATAATCGATTCTTGACTTTAAATGAAAAACAACAATCTTTTTATCTGTATAATGAACACAGATTTAAACGATGTAGGAGAATAGGTAGAATACATTGCAAATCACAATTAGTTCATATCATGTTATATCGGTTAAGATAATTCTATCTGAGACATTACTATATATATTTGTACGCATGTTTGTGGATGTGTAAAATGTGAAATTTGTAGTATGTAAAAGAAGTTCCCTAGAAATTTCTTTAGTATTGCATGCACCCTCAGATCATATCATATTCACTTTTGAAATTGTAGACGAATTTAGTAAGCTGACATTATTCGATTAAAAGAAATGTAAATTTAATCATTTATTAAAAACCGTCATATTCAGCGACTTTAACCTTACACATATGTTCAGTGCAAAGATTTAATTTTGAATAAGCTAACTAGTTTGCTTTGTTCTTTTTTACTATTCAAACTTGCGTTATTACCACATTTGGAATCATCAATCAATCATTGTTAGACCACCATTAGGAACCTGGAAGCACTGAAGGACGGACGTTTCGTCCTGGCATGGGACTAGTCAGTTGCAGTGCGCATCCACGACTCCTGCAACTGGCAGGATTCGAACCCGCGACCCTCGGTATTGTGCGCGAACGCCTAACCATTTGACCACTGGGTCGTCATCAAACGGTGTTTGATGATTTCAAATGTGTAAAAACACTAATTTTCCATAATTCTAATTGAAAAAATCGTAAAATGTGCTCACTAGTGACTAGCTTCTCGAGGAAATTCTCGGAGTTTTAGTCAGAAGACGTGACCAGTGGAGTTCAACCCTGTCGGGTATAGGCAGTAACTACCAAAGACAAATGGGTGAGGTCGCGCAAAATCCCTAGATGACACCGTTGGATGCCGGCCCAGTGGTCCGATGGTAAGGCATTCGCGCACAATACCAAAGGTCCCGGGTTCGATTCCTGCGAGGTGCAGGAGTCGTGGATGCGCACTGCCACTGACTAGTCCCATACCGGGACGAAACGGCCGTCCAGTGCTTCCAGGTTTCTAATGGTGTTTCCAACAATGATTGATTGATGATTTTAAATGTATAAAACCACTAATTTCCATAATTCTAATTGAGAATTATGTTATTATTTCAATTCCGTTATTGAGCATTTCCTTGAAAAAAAACAACTTACATTAAAGTTCTAAACGTCAGAAATTCAAATCTTACATACATTGGAATATCATTGTTTGTGATTGAAATGTTTTGTTTAGGATTTTCAACTTCTTTTTTTTCTCTATATTTTTTTATGAATAGATTATTCGGAAACTTCATCTTCATTGTGTGAATTTCAATGTACTGAAATACCGGAAAATTCAAATCATTTAATCGAATCCACTGAAAATATTTATCATCCACTTGATCAACAACAACATCATCCGAATCATCAGAATCAGTTTATTGATAAAACAAATCAATACTTCAATCATCCTAATCTACAACCTGATTGGTCAGTACCAAATACCATGCCATATAAAACAATGAATGAATTATTGATTAAATCACAAATAAATTCAACCCAAAATACACATGAGAATCATTTAAAAGTTGACAATTATCCAGCTCATTTCTCATCTATCGATTATAATAATAATTTCAATAAAACTGAATTATTAAATAAAATGATATTAGATAATAGTGATTTAAGTATATCACCAATTAGTTCGAGATCATCGTTGTTTACATTACCATTGACACAATCAACCTATTTATTACCGAACTATTCCATGTCATCTAAACAACACACAGTTGATTTGATTAGTTCATTTTATTCAGTTGAACAGAATTTGCCTAATAGAAAACAAACTTTACAAGAACAAAGTCAGTTAGATGAATATCATAATAAGTTTACCAGGTAAATACGTACGTATACTCTTAACATGAAAATGAAATTACTGTATTTGAAATTTAAGAGATTCTATCAATGAAAAAGGTTCCAATCATATTTTGTTTAAAAATTCTTCTTTTTTATGAGGTTTAAAAACAGTCGACCAATATTTAAATTGTCAGTCACATTCCAGAAATATGACAGATTAACGGTAAAAAAATTCACTTGGAATAATGGATGGTGTAGAGTTGAATCGGATGAATTAGAAATACATTCAACTGATCAAGAGCAATAAACAGAAAATCTAGATGAAGTGCTTTCTTCTCAATTTTACTCAACCAATTAGGCTGAAAGATAGCAGTCAGTGCATTAAAACATATCTACTTAACAGAATTTATTTTATAGTTTGAAAATGAAAATGATATGATTTACTTACGCCTGTTACCCTGAAAAAAAATTTCTCAACCAACCATGTTCTGGGCCTTCCTTTCCATCTCTATCCAACTGTTGTTCGTTCTTCTCATCTCTGTCTCCGATTCCGGACGTAGTGTGTTTCTTGGTCTATCTCTTTTCCTTAAGCCTCGAGGATTTCAACTTACAGTTGCAGTCAGTCAGTTAGTTAACAACAAGTTACGGCTTGATTCAGCCCCTTTTCCTCATTTGTTCCTATGCTGGAATCTGTTTTGTTCCCTCCCGTAGTAGGTTGTTACTGATGCTGTCTGGTCGACGGCTAAGGATTATCTTACACAGACAACTGTCAAGAAACACCTATATCTTGTGGATGATGGCTTTCGTAGTTCGCCGAGTTTCCTCCATACAATAAAACAATTTTGACGTTGTATTGAAAATTCTGAATTTGGTGTTGGCTGACACTTGTTTTGAGTTCTAAACGTTCCTCAACTGTAGAAATGTTGCCCGACAATAATATAAGTTTATTCTCAAATAACTGGCCAACAGAAATGAACTAGTTCTTTTTACAAGTTCCGTTTATATTACCAGCATTCACTATCAACACATTGATGGAAGGGAAATTTCTACTTAAAATTTCAAAAGTTCCTTTCAAAACAGATTTTTGTCTCTTGTCTCATGTAGGCAAATGAAATAAATTGCTTCGTGTTATACAATAACTTGAAAGAGAAAAACCCATTTCTTAGTGTAGGTAACTTCAAGTTAAGTGAGCATTGAGTAGGTTGTCGATAATGATAATAATCATCATAAAAAAAGATATGTACTTACTGGTGTAGTTTTACGATTTAATTTAATTTTAGATGATCTGCTGACTGATCCAGGAAGGTTAAGTAACTGTTTCTCAACAGTATACACCGTCATTATCTTTTAAGCGATCAAAACCTAGAACTTTCCAATTCGCTGCTTAGCATGATACCTACCATCCAATTATAACTTATTATATAATTTTTACGCTCGTCTCTAAGTATGCTTAAACTATTACGAGTTCACCTTAGTTAAATAACGAGAACAAAACAATGAACTGACGTCCAGGTAGGCTACTGTGATCCCTTGACCAAATTGAATCAGCAAGAAGTCTTGATATAGTGTAGAAATTGTATTCTACAAACACTCATCCAGCACACAATCAATCCAAGCACTCAAATCGCGTTTATTTATACTCTATAGAGAGGTCCTTTGGAAAGTCACAAAAATAGCGCACTAAAATAACACAGTAACCAATCACAGTCAAGAATTTTGCTGGTGGGAAATGTGATCTCAAGGTTAACTGATCGACCCATGAAATAAATACAAAATAAAGATATTTATCAAGTGAATTCTGGGGATCTAGCATCCTCAACAATAATTATTTATCTTTTCTACCTTAAGTCGACTCATGATACAATGTAACTTGCGATCAGATGATTGCTACGCTTCTAATTACTTAACTGTATCTAATTAGTGTAACTACATATAAATGAGATCTAAAGAAATTCATCTCCATGCCAGTAATGAGTGATTAGTTAACCAATCATTTTGTGAATTGTTAAAACTGTTTACAATCCCTCAGATTCTTTGAAATAATAGACATAAAGAAAATGTTTCATTTAGAGTTAACAATCTATTTTTTAATACTTTTTTTCTTTTTTCCTTCCACAAATATCCATTTTAAATAAATAAATACGTCGAATTTTTATTAGTATTCCCTATGAATTCAATGATTTATGCAAGTCATCATTCAATTATCATGAAAACAATAAACATCAATTAATCAATGAAAATACAAATGACAAATTTATTCGTCAATTGAAAAAAGCCAAACGATCTAATCATCATTCAAATCGAATGATAAAGCTACAACAGATGAAAAAAACTAAAAAATCAACTGAGAATCAATTTCAATCTTCTCTACCTCATCAATATCATCATCATCATCATCATCATGATGAACAAAAGACAAATTTCTCATTGACAAATGACTCGTTGCCATTAGACGTCACAAAAAGCATGAAAACATCGATTAGTTTGGCAAGTATTCCGTCACAATCGACAGTCATGTCAACAACATCAACACCAACTACAACAGTAATCACGAATATGGTCAAATTGAAATCTATGCTTACAAATAGCATAAAAGAAACTAACGATTCATTGCATAACAGTAATAATAATAATAATAATAATAATAATAATAACAGTAGAATGAATGAATTGTGTTGTTCTTCTGCCTTCTATGATTCAAATAACAATCATCATCACCATCATCATAATCATAAATCAGTAAACAATCCAATGATGACATTGGAACAACCAAAAATATGGAATGATTATTTGTCAAGTTATTGTTTAGCCTCCTATAAATCACATGATTATTTTGATCCCCTTTGTAATCTATCTGTTTCACCTCATCTTACAAATGAACATCATCATCATTATGATCTTGCTGTACAGCCACAATTACAACAATGTAATCATACACAAAATTATCATGAAAATATTGTTACAGGTAAGTTAAAAGTTAGTATATTTGATTGTTGACAGTAATCTGAAGAACATAATCCTCTTTACCTGTTGTCGAACGTTTTAAGGATTTGTCACTTGTACAAACAAGATATATATATATATATATATATATATATATATATATATATAATTTTCGGGCAGAATTTTGGAGGTTTTAGTGTTTTTACACATTTGAGATCACCAATCAATCATTGTTAGACCACCATTAGTATCCGTGGATCAATCAGAGTTAGACATTAACACCGTTGGATACCGGTCCAGTGGTCCGATGGTTAGGCGCTCGCGCACAATATCGAAGGTCTCGGGTTAGAATCCTGCAAGATGCAGGAATCGTGGATGCGCACTGCCACTGATGAGTCCCATACCAGGGCGAAACAGCCGTCCAGTGCTTCCAGGTTTCTAATGGTTGTCTAACAATGATTGATTGATGATTTCAAATTTCCATATATCTCCCCACAAAAACGTCAACAGTTAAATGGTATTATTTCATTGATATACTGAAGACCAATATCAATATAATCTTACACTAATCAGATTAGAAGTGAACATTGAATCATCCATAATATATTTTATGATGTTTGAGAGTCATTAAACAATCTATCATATTCGATAAATATTCTGAAATCTATTTATCATTCATTATTACACTAGAATTACGCAACATATATGGCGTAATCATGCCAAATGTAATTAATTCTATATGGGACATCTAATAATGGCATACAACTTTTAACGGATTAATTTTTGAGGTGTTTTTTTATTTTATATTGAAAGTTGAAATTGATTTCACACATGTTCATTTTCAATTAAGATGTACAGTAATTAGATACGGGTTTCACAGAACACAGGATCATAATAATAATAATAATAATAATAATAATCTTTATACCGTAATAAACAGTATAAATTATGGATTAAAATTTTACTAAATAATCCTCCAATATTTTTATATGATACAAATCGATGCAGAATGAATTAGACATTATTTTTTTGGTTCATTATTTAATGTTCTAAAATATTTTATTAGAAAATTCATTTATACTGGATTAAAAGTTGAAAATTTAAAAAAAAATCAGCTAACAATTTAATTGTTTGGTCTTTTTTTTATAATGAAACTGATTAACAGGTTAAAATAATTTGTATAATTATTCAATTGGTTTTTTTTCAAAAAAATTAGATTTTCATTATTATTTGAATGTGAAATTTTGAGAATTGAGATAAGATGAGGAGTTGAGTGTTTTTAACATGAATAAAATATTGGATAATTAAGCTAAAAGGATAAAAATGATTAGCTAGATTGGTAATCAAAATATTTATAAGTTTCATTTTAAACTAGGATAGAAATACAGTTGATACAGCATCGCATCCAACGGTTTTAAGATTTAACCTCAATCAATCCACGGTCTTGCATGACTTCACTTATTATCTTTGATTGTCACTGCTTTATACCTGACAGTGTTGAATTCCACTGGTCACTTCTCACTAGAACTCCAAGAATTTCCGCAAAAAGCTAGTCACAAGTGAATGTATTTTTATGATTTTCATAAAAGTGCCTACCGAAGACAATGGACATGGTCACGCAAGACCGTGTATTGATTGAAGTTGTACACTGACACCGATGGACGTCGGCTCACTGATCTAAAAACTAAATGTTCGCATGTGAAAGTGAAGGTCCTGGATTAAATTTGCTCGTTTGGGGGTGCTGGATGCGTACTGCTATGGACTCCCATGCTAAGAGGAAACGGCCGTCTAGTGACTCAAAGTTTCTAGTGATAGTCTAACATTGATTGATTCATGATTTCAATGAAACTCAACAATCTCCACAACCCTATAATGAAAATCATAAAAAATATAGTTGTTTAATCTACCGACTTTTAATATTTCTCTGGATTTTCCTAGTTCACAGTAAAAACAGTTTTAGTTCGATAATCAATAGGAGCCAGGAAGTACAAGGTAACTTTTTTCGATCACTGAAAAAACATTCCATAGTTTCTTTGTCTGGCTTGAGTTACTGGTGGTGAGCAACTGCCTTAACTCAAATAAAATGCCTTAATGGTAGTACTTGTTTGAAAACTGTGATGAAGTTTCAAGACTCACTTTTTGTTAAGAATTTAATTTTAACTACTGATCAATATCAGTAAATCATATAAAACTTCGTGTATTCATACATCTAAGCCTTCTTTCTTACATTGAGACATGTCAATCTTTGTTTATTTCTAACAATTATAGATATAAAATCATCAATCAATCATTGTTAGACAACCATTAGAAACCTGGAAACACTGGACGGCCGTCTCGTCCTGGTTTGAGACTCATCAGTGGCAGTGCGCATCCACGATTCCTGCACCCCGCAGGATTCTAACCCGAGATCTTCGATATTGTGCGCGAGCGCCTAACCATCGGACCACTGGACCGGTATCCAACGGTGTTAATGTCTAACTCTAATCGATCTAGGGATTTTGCGCGACCTCACCTATGTCTTTGGTAGTTAGTGCCGAGTCTCATACCAGTACGAAACGGCGGTCCATTGCTTCCAGGTTTCTAATGGTTGTCTAACAACGATTGATTGATGATTTCAAATGTGCAACAAACACAAATCTCCAAAACACTAAATGAAAAAATATATGGGAATGAAAAGTGATTTTCTTTATAAATTAAATTAAGCTACAGAACTGTTGAGAAATCAAATGGTGTAAAGGTGTTTAAAATTTGTTTTATCATGGGCTGAGACTATATAGCACTGTCTGCTCTCGATTTTACTCGAAACCAAACTCAGAATATCCAGATATGTGTGAGAATATAAACAAATACACTGAACTAAAATTCAATGTTCCGTGAATCCAGCTTCAGACAATTTTCGATGTGGCTAAGATAGTACTCTCTGTAGATAATTACATCAGCTTAGACATATCTAACCAAGTAATTGAATGTTTTGAACAGGTTCTTATGAATCTTATCTCACAGTTAGTCATCAGTTTTGATTCTCTGTGTTAGTAGTTTGGTAGTTTCAAGCTAGTAACCAGCAGATCCATTGTTTTTTAGTAGTTTGTTCGATAACCTCAGTCTGTGGTGTCATAAATTATCTACGAAATAAACTATACTTAACACATTCATTAAAGTAACTTAAATAATTATATATGTATAGACAGTAGATCAGTAAGTAGTCTCGTATAAGTATAAGAAAATATTGTTGTTTCAATATCACCTATTCTGTATTGTGTATTGTGTATTGGTATATTTGTATGTATGTAATGGATAGCAAGACATGTCTTTATCAAGTTTACACCGCTTATTAATTGACTATAAGTTCAAACATGGTTATATTTTAATGAATGAAGTCTCATTTTAAATAGTAAAACTTATATTCCAGTAAACTACTAAACATGTCATTAATATCTATATGTCGTGTTTGTCTATTACTATGTGGTAATTGAATTTTATCGATCAGATTGTAATATGTCTACTTAGACTAATTTAATTAAAATGATGTATAAAATAGTTTTGATGTTGTTGAATGACTTAGATTGATCGATAGTAAAACTACAGACAATAAATGTTTTGGCAATTCACACTTTTCTCTGAATCTTGTTAAATCAGTATTCTTAATCTTACTGGAATCTGTATCACAGTTAGAAAAATTACTGCTAGCTAATTTTACCATTATTAACTTGTTACATGATTTTAGTGTTTAGATTAAACTATTTGATTTAGAATTACAAGTTTCTGATAAAATCTGACGAATTTTTTATAGTTATCAGAGGGAATTAAGCAAAGCAATTTTTCAAGGTTACATTTAATGGTTAACTATCAACTGCATTGATTGTTGAGCTATTGTTCATTTTATGTGTAACGAATAGAGAGTTTGTGAATAACCTCATAAAAACCCGTACATATGTAATGAACTCAGAGGTTAAGTATATGAGTGGGTAATAGAAAGAGATTGTATGGAGTTTGATGATTAAACAGTGATCATATTTTTATTCTATTTAAATTGTTCGTACAACTATAGTTCGAAGCTTATCAATATATTTTTGTATTAAATTATTATTTACTTACTAATTGCAAGTAGTATAAATAAATCCCACAAAGTTTACACATTTCCGTGCCACTTTTTTTCAAATCCATATATTCTAGCAAACAATGAAATAAATCCTATTTTACCAGCCTTCGTAACATATATGCAAGGACATATTCAACATATACCTGAACATTCTGTATATTCGAATTTTGAAAATGTATCATCTATTCAGCAAAATAATGCAGAAGAATTAATTGATTCAAGAAAATTCAATAGTGACAATTATTTGTTGGTTGAACAAATGGATCATTTTGCTGCAGAAGATCAGGTAAGCTTAAGATCAACTGATACTATAACTATTTGACATAAGTGACTTTCATAAAGATGGGAACGGGGAAATGTGTACCTCAGGTGGATGATCATGGTAGTTCCCTTTTCTGAGCTGGATAGTTTGGTTGTGAATTTTTCGCTGTTCTTCTGAGTAACATCGTCAGCACAAACTTCAGACAGAATAGGTCTACAACGACAGGTTAAACATCAAGCTATGAGTAATATGTAGAGGAATTCTAATGTTTCACTTATACGTCAAATTTGTGCTTGTTATGGTGTTTAGAATAACAATGAACAAAACTACACCAAGATTAAGACTGTACAGTTTTAAGTTATCCGATGATGACCAATTAAAAAGCCATTCATGGCTTTTCAGAATTTCCTAACATTTGATCATTACAATATCACCATCATAAATCGGGTTAGCCAGGATTGATTAAATGCTGTCTGAAAGACAGAATATAGATGAGGGATAAGTGATATTTATTATTTACCTGCTCAAGGTCACTGAAAATATGTCCATATTGACATCGATCTTGTAATTTACATGTGCGAATATTGTGTAAATAATGATTGATCATTTTTAGTTTGAAAGTTTTCTACAATGTCTTGATATTCACCTTATGGATAGTAGTATTTCTAGGTATTAATGAAAAATAGATTAGTAAATTTATCAAAATTATACACAGCACACAAATGCATCTATGATTAGTAGTGTTTTTTGATTAATTCGAATATTTACTATTATTCTCATTTCATAGATTAAATTTGAAAAAGAACTATTCACTGGAAATGATCATCTTACATCTACTGCATTGACAACGACAATTACAATGACATCAGCGACATCAGTGACAATGACAACAACTATGTCAACACAATCTATTCATTCACATTTAACGAATAATTCAACTTCATTAAATATACCAACCAGTACATTTCCTTGCAATAATGAAGATAAAAATAATAATAATAATAATAGTGACAATATATTGACCAATCCACAATTACTCCCTGTAGATATCAATAATGATAAGCTGAATTATCAAAATGGAATAATCAATAATCAAATTCTTCATAATATTAATAGTAATAATAGTTATCTATGTAGCAGTAATAATCTTCCTGCTTATAAATATCCCTCTCAGTCAATTTATAGTGAAAATTGTCAATTGTTACCAGTATTCAATTCCCGTCATCAATACCAAAACACTTACGGTGATCAAAGTAAGTTATTGAACTTAATGGTCTAATGAGAAATGTTTGTAATTTGAATGTAAGTTATTGATAGAAAAACTTGTTGTCATTTAGATAACGATTTGAAGATCATTAAGAAGCGGAAACTTCTTTTGGTTATTGTTAGACTGGTTAGTTTTGTATAACAGGAATGAAGCCTAGTTAGTGTTTGCTCTAGCTACCAATCACTGTTCATGCTATCTAAGATTTGTAAATTTTAATTAATTACCACAGGGAAGTAAATGACAATTGAATAAATGAACACAACTCATCTGTTATAGATAATTGATAATATTCATTAATTGTTCTTGTCGAATCACAACAAAACAATAACATAATTAGTACTGGTTAAATTCTCTTTTAAATGGAACATGTAAAATGACCAAATGTAAATTGGCACTCCGTTCGATTCACATTAAACTTAAATTAGGCATAAACTCTGAAATTATTCATAATAAATTATTTGCCTACTCATTAGTAGTTAAATAGTAATCGGCACAATTTTACAGAAAATATGTTTCTTGTTATCTGAATGATTGAAATTCGAATAGTTCTAACGTTTCATTGAGAAAGTTGGTCAAAACCTCCACAAGGATATAGTTGAAACTTCAACCGAAATGTAGACAGGCGAATGTCAATTGCTGATTTCAGGTCAATTAAAATTCAAAGCCCGATTTTTTTAAGACCATGTATTTAAATTTCAATAAAACATTCAAATCAGTAACAATTTTTCTTTTAATTTTTACAGATAACTTTAGTTTAAACCAATTGCCAACAAATAGTCCTATTAACGACAAACTAAAACTATGTTCAGAATTATCTATGAATAACTTAACCCCCGCTTCACATTCCACTAGTGATATTGTTAATAAAAATCCTTGTAATATTGATGTTGCCTTCATGCACAATAAAATTGATCATTGTACACAACAACCTTATCATCACTATCATCAAGAATCTCAATTGATTTTTAATAACATTGAATCAATTGAAAAATCATATAAAACATCATTTTATTGTCCAGTCACATCAACAACAACTAATCATCATGGACATATACAATTATGGCAATTTCTGCTAGAAGAATTACAAGATCCTGAAGCGAATGCATTTATTTCATGGACTGGTTATGAAAATGAATTTAAATTAAAAGAACCAAATCAAGTAGCACAACGTTGGGGTGCTAGAAAAAATAAACCAAAAATGAATTATGAAAAATTAAGTCGTGGTTTACGTTATTATTATGATAAGAAAATTATTGAAAAAGTCTCGGGTAAACGTTATGTTTATAGATTTACACGTAATTTAAATGAATTGATCAATCATCAATTTGCAGAACCGATCACACCATCATCATCTACATCATCATCAACATCATCGACAACATCATCATCATTGTTATTATTATCTTCAAATTCAACTTCAACTTCAACGACAACATCCTCTGTGACATCATTGTGTATGAGTAAAAATCAACATTTCAATAATTTTATGAAAATGAAAAATTTCAAAAAGTCATCATTATATAAAAATAATACATGGACGAATGAAATTTTTGACGAGATCTAAAATGTCACATTTTAACTTTATTTGTTTTTATTTCTGCAAAACATTATATATAGATTGCATTTGTATAGTTGTAACGAAAAAATATTTAGAAAACTATGAGCAAACTGAATGATTGGAAAGTGTTCTGATCATTTGTGAAATTTATATATACATATATATATACATATACAGTTATCAACATAATCATGTTAGATCACAGTATTTCTCAATGTTTCTTTTTTAAAATACAACTTATTCTTAAATGCTTATTATTATTATTATTATTATTACTATTATTATTATTATTATTATTATTATTATTATTATTACTAATCTTGATCATTCCTCTTCTTTTGTAAACACATAGAATATCACCAGATTGATGTAATTCATAAATTACATTGACTGAAACATTGAACAATGAAACCAACAGCTTCTTTTTTTCATTTATCTTTTGTACAATCATAGATTTAAATTCATTAAAACATGTCAATTAGATTTTTCTGTCGCTTTTTTTCCTAATGTGTAGATGTAGAAAGATATTTGAATCAGTTCAAGTGGTTATTATTGTTTTGCTCAATCAATCGTTTAATATTAATTAGTAGATGAGATCAAATACTAGACGTGTGTATGTGTACTACCTTGTTTGTGATATGTTCGTCACTAGGTACGCTTGAAGCTATTACGAGTTCACCTTAGTCGATAAAAGCGAACGAGACAATTACCAGAGTCCAGGTAGGCTACCTTGAATCCCAAGCTGAAGACAGAAGGCTTTGTAAGCGTAGAAAGCATATTCTACACCACCCAGCAATCACAATACAATCAAGCACACAACTGTCATTTATTTATACATCATAGAAAGGTCCTTGGGACAGTTACGAAAATAGCACACTAAAATACACAGAAGCCAATCACAACCATGGATTTTCCTGGTGGTAAGTGAAATCTCAAGGTCAACTGATCAGCCCATGCTCGCAAATGTGAAATAAGGCATTTATAAAGCGAGTTCTGGGGATCTAATATCCCCAACGGTTTGCTCTCTGTTGTAACCATATACAAATTCTGAGCAATTGCTTTGATATGGCTTTTAGCTACAAGTTTCAGTATATTTAAAAAGTATTTTGTTTGAGTCAGATTGTAGACGCTGACGGTAGGATGTATGTAATATATACATACATTGTATGTATGCGACCGTTAGTGGTTGATAACAAAATAAATTCTTAAAGGAAAAAGTTGTGAGAATTGAAGTTCAATCATACCGGAAGTAAACTAGATATCATTGATGATACATATTAAATGATATTTGGAGTTTAATATGGACTACTGAGGTGAGCTTATAATAATTTGAACGACTGGATTTCACTTTAGTGCTCTCTATAAAAGTTTAAGATCCTGAGTTCAATCCTTTTTTGGGTGTGTACTCTACTGACGAGTCTCGTACTAAGACGAATTATTTGTTGAGCTACTTACTATCTGGTTTTCACTAAATCTTTAACTGATATACCTTGAAATTGAACACCCAGATTGCTAACCTGATAATTAAAATGTCTAGACCCCATTTCGTTTAATAATCTAATGAAGATATGATTCGAGCACTTAGCACTCCGGGGACCACATTCACATATGCTTTCATTTTAAACTAGTAATTATGTTAGAATCTTAGCAACAAAATTTATTCGGCACTGAGGACTTATCAATATCATATTGATGATCATAAAATAATCAGTTAGTATAATATTGCATATCCGAGTTATTGTCGAACATCACTGATTTGGATTAGAAAATTCTTTTACTAAGACGTTTAATATTGTTTAATGAAAGCTGATTAACATTTTGTTCAAAAATATCAGAATCTAATATTCAATGTCATTAACTTAATTCAATTAATTATTTAATAATTCATAATAATCTGTACAGAAATTCTTGTTGTAAACCAAAAATAATTAATTTCTTATTTCATTATTATTATTATTATTATTACTATTGTTTCTTTTTTAAGGCATGAAAAATAAATTGGAAATTTTTTATAACGTATAAAATATGTGTATATATTTCCATTCCTCTAGTGTATTACATTTTTCATTGTGACAACATCAAATTTTCATAAAATTAACTTCATATATATATATATTTTAGTAATCCTTTCATTGTGTCCACAGAAAGCAATGAAATAAGTCATTCATGCAGATGATAAAAAAACAAATTATACCATGAAAAGAAGAACACACGAAGTTTTAACAACAACAGTAATATTAATAATTATAATAATAATCATTGAAATTATAGATTGTGCTTTATGTGAGTGTATATAGTTTTGTGCATTAGTTAAAAAACCCGAATGAAATTCAAAATCGTTGCTGTTTTCCTCTCAGATAAGTATATGCAATCATTGGACTTCTATTTCTTAAACATCATCGATCGATAAATAAACAGAACTATCAATCTCGCAGAATATTTTTTATAATGAATGAGAAAATTTGTAAATGCTTCACTGTTGAGATACAATATTTTAGTTTAAATTAACAAACTGACAGTGACAAAACAAATTTATTAGGATGAAACAATCTATAAGTTTTTTGATTAGTATATATATATATACTCAAAAAGGTATTTTTATTTGCCGTTGAACAATGAACAAATTCAAGAAGAGGAAGATAAACAATTCAAATAAAACAAATATGTCTCTGCTTTCAATTATTGATTATTTTGAAAATCTCATTCAATTGATCAACATTCATGTCTATCATATTGATCAATAAAAATGTATGAACATGTTTATATAAAAAGGCATAAGCGCACATACAGAGATAGAAATTGAATATTGATCATGATAATGAATGCTGATTGATTACACATCAGATGGTGTGATTTGTATACATAACACTCGACAAAATTTTGAACATGATATTAATTGAAAATTTTGTTTTGAAAATAAACCTGGTGCATTGTCAACAATTGGTAATGAGACAGCTAGACCATTTTCACCTGGATAAGTTGATTGCCAATTACGACATTTTGATTGAGCTGCATATTCATAATCACCATTTAAATAAATTGGTTTTTGACCAATCCATAAACATGGTGCACTATTTAAAACAAAACAAAAAAAAATAGTAACGTAAAATATTGATAAGATAAAAGAAAAAATGAAAAACTATTTCATTTATACGAAAAATAGATGAATGAATTGAATGGTCTGTTCAAGTTTATGTCAGTTTAAAGAAACATTGAAAAAAATTCTCCTAAGAGTATTGTGGGGTTGTTGTGAAGATTATTAAGTTACATTATTGAAACAATGAATCGATCAGTGTTAGACCACCATTAGTAACCTGGAAGAACTGGACGGCCGCTTCGTCCTGGTATGGGACTCATCAGCAGTGCGCATCCACGACTCCTAAGAGTATTAATCAAAGATTTATATTTATACATTTGAAATCATGGATACGCGCTGACACTGATGAGTTCCATACCAAGACGAAACGGCCATACAGTGCTTCCAGGTTTCTAATGGTGGTCTAACAATGATTGATTGATTGATGACTTCAAATGTGCCTAAAAAACACTAATCTCCATAACTCTAATTGAAAGTTTATATTTTATAGCTTCCAAGTTTAATGCACATAGCTAAATTAAAATACATTTTATCTTATTAATCGATAGACTGACTCTATACATTAGAATTTTTTTCATAAATGAAGAATTTTAAACTGAAATAAATCAGTTATTCAATGTTTCTGTGGCTGCTAACAGATAATGGATATATATATATAGTCAGCATTTTATTAATTGACGACATCATACATCCATTAGTTTCACTGAAAATACACTTTCTGTCATTCCTTTAATACAAGCTAATGTATATTTTACTCTAAATAAAATAAATAAATAAATTTGCATGAATCGTCAGAGAAAAAAAATATTATCCTGTTAGTTGCTTAGATGGAATACACACACTAGTACATTGTGATTTGTTGAGTTAGATAGCGGGAGGATTCAACACAACCAGGACCATTGAATTGATACACTTAGCTGTTGTTAGTGTTGTTTAATTCTATTAAGAAAAATATAAATAACTAAATAAATAAGGCCACTTGACAACAATTCTTGTTGATTTCTCTTATTGAAAAAAAAATTAATTGTATTTCTTTATGTTATACTGATTTATTGATAGATGACTAATCATGATTCATAATGTGTATTCATTGTTTAAATAAAATGTAAACAAAAATGATGAGAGAAAAATTTATTAATATTTAATTGAATTAATCAAATTTCATTTCTCCATTTTTGTAATTGGCATAGTTTCTGTTTAAATATTAGAAATTATGAAATATATATATATATATATATATATATATATATATATATATATATGAAAATAAATTTGGCAAAAATAAAACTAATTGAAGCTGTGAGGAAAAAAAATGAAAGAAGGCATGAAGCACTACTGTACAATTGAATATTGAATTATTTAAATTGGTATTGATTATGTTAGATTGAACAACTAGAAAAAAAACGTATGATACATGATACATGAAGGTATCAAGTAATTAAAGTTCTAGAGTGAGAACTAACTAATGGTGTGCATCACTTAGTGTCAGTGGATTTTTGTTACACCTCAATCATCCATCCTTCAGCCATCATCTCTTACTGACCAATGATCCTATAGAATATCAAGGAGTTAACACTCCAGTGAATAACAGTGTAATTTTGACAAATCCTGTAACTTGATGATAACTATAAACTTGATGGTGGGTAACTAGTGAATGAAATGGGTTGTGTAGAACCAACGGGATTGATTGTGATGTAATCACCTCCATGTGTGAAGTTGGATGAAGAATGTGGAAGTTGTAAATGTGAAGTGATGTTTACTGGTTCAGTCGATAAACATAAAAATAACTATGTGTACAATCCCATGTATTTTCAGGTATGTTCGTTTCCTGACGGTTTTAATGTGAGACAACTCTAGTCTACTGTTTTCTGACATTCAATATTTCTCCACGTTATGGTAACACTACACATGAACATACATTCAACGGTTATCAAAAAATATCATTTCAGTTACTACAAAATGAGTAAATTAAATTTCTATTAATTGTATGATTGTTCGCTTTCTTTCAATGTAAAATATGACATACCCATTGAATAAAATCTTATTAAACTTACACAATGTCATCTGTTATATCAACACCGTCAAAATTTAACAATTTTGATTGTGGCCTTGAACGTCCTTCAACAAGACTCATAAAATCATCAAACAGAACTTCGCCCTTTTTTTTACAAAAACAGAAAACGAGATGAAGATGAGCCAAGATATAACATGTTAGTATTACAATAATAAAAGAACTATTTTATAAGTTGTTAGTAATAATTAATAACGCGTCTACATTGATATGAGATTATGAAGTGACAACTGTGTCATAAATCTTCATCTACAGAACCATCAGAAGTCAGAACAAGAGGTCATTAACTCATTATTCAACAAATTCAAACGTCAGGTCGGATATAAACATACTTAAGATACAAGAACATATGATTAGGATTAATGAGTTGGGTCAGTGATGAGTAATCAATTTGGAAAAGTAAGGTAATCCAATCACTAATTATCGACTGGCATGTCAGTGACCAGATGATGACAATGATTCTGGTTACAGTAAATGAAGTTTGTTGGTGCCTTTTACAGTGTGAAATACAATCCATTTGATAAAGGTAACCAATCACAATACTGATCTGCAAAAAGCTATATTTTTGTACAGACTGACATCAATGATGTAGACCTATTTCTCATAAATCTTATGCGTGTGCGTAGCGACAGCTTCGCAAAATAACAGCTATTGAAAAGCATTTTACTCAGTAAACCCTTTTTTTAGAGCCGCGTCCATACTACTTTTACGTTGTGATCAACACTTTGTTCTTAAAACCAGATAGATTTGTGCTACGTACCAAATATATTAGAAGGTAATGAGAAAAAACAAGTGGATGTAAAGCTGGTCTGGTGTCCTTTTGATCTGACTAACAAAACCTATGAGTGACACAACTAATACACAGTGATTAAAACTAGAGAGCTGTAAAATTAACATCACTATAATTTAACCATAGGACTCAACATTTAATGTCTGAATTAACTTACGTATAAATTAACTAAAGGAACACCATATCTGTATGTTGGTGGTACAACATAATCCATATTGAACACATCTGTACTAAGTAATGGATAGAATGCTCTACCGAGACCTTTGAGATTTGCTGCACGTTGACATGCGAAAATTGAACCAGCATGTGCACCAGTCATTCGATCAGCATACTTCAAATCACCACGTAATGGTTCATTTTGTGCAATTAGATAAAGCTGTAAATTGTTTAAAAAAAAGAGTGAGAGTAGTAGATTTTTAAGACAAAAAGGTAGTTATTTGTATATTGAATCTGGGTTGTACATATCTGTGTGATTAAGCATGTAAATATAAAATGAGTGTCTATAAATGTCATACAATCAAGTGATCACCTTTTCTTTGATAATGAATAAATGCTTAACTCTGGCTAAGTTTATTCTAGGGTTACTGTCGGTTCCAAGCCCAGATAAAAGATGAAGGTTAAACATGGGGTTAGCAACAAGTTGCTGGAAAAACGCTAGCCAGAACAAACAATTTAAACTTTGCTCCGAGAGTTGGACGGTCTTCGTTTACAAGAGTTATGACGACCCATGATGAAAGATGAGTTTCTTCGGAAGTCAAGAGACTGATACCACTTCTGACAGTCAGCGCAACATTTAATATAGGTACATGAAGAGTTCGCACAATGTGGGAGACCAGAAGAATTATTCAAGTTGCTGCGGAAAGGTAACGATACAAGCTGATAGTGCTTGAAATAAGTGAAATCCACTGAGTGCGAGCTAGCCAAAAAAGATTATCTTCAGAAGAGATGCTGTTACATTCTGACCATGAAGAAGAAACTGCCACACATAAACAAGGAGTTGAAGTGATGTTGTCCAAAGAGGTCTCAAAAGTACTTGTAGGATGGTAATCTCATGAACCGAGGATCATCAAAGCCTCCTTCAAAACAAAGGAAGAGTGGATAATGAATGTTTTCCAGTGCTACGCTCTGACCGGCGATGTCAGTGGAGACGATGAAGATCAATTGGATGAGGGGCTGCAATAATAGCAAAGGACCTGACCATTCGGATGGGGGACCTAAACGGCAAAGGTGGGATGGATACCATCGGATATGAAGATATTATGGGACGACATGGACGCTGAGTAAGTAACGAGAATGGTGGGAGATTCGCAAATTTATGCGCCTTCAACAAAATTGTTATAGGTGACACAAAATTCCCACACAATCGCGTTAACATAGCTACATGGGTTTCACCGGGTCGCACTACACAGAACCAAATCGACTACATCTGGATCAACAAAAACTTCAGAACGACCATGGTGGATGTGAGAATCAACAGAGAGGCTGACTTAACTTCTAATCATCACCTGGTGATGGTCAAGATGAAAATGAAGCTAAAAAAGCCCTGGATAACTGGGTGGACAGCATCCCAGAGTTTATTACGGCCTTTCTTCACGATACTGGCAAACTCAACGAATTCAAGATGGCTCTCAGTAATAAGTTTCAATGCTTGCACTATCGACTCAATAAAGAGGAAACTGCCATGGAGAACAACTAAAAGAAATCGGAGAAACAGTAACTTCATCTTTTCATGAGTCTTTAGGTTGACAGACGTAAATATATGGAAGTTCTAGCAGTGGTAGCAGAAAAAGCTTCAAGAGAAGGAAATATGCAACAACTATACGATACAGTGAAGAAGCTTTCTGAAAATATAATTAAACAGAACGACCAGTGAAGACCAAAGAAGGCAAACCAGTCTCTGACATTCAAGAACAATGAAACAGGTAGGTAGAACATTCTGAAGAGCTCTTCAATAGACCAACTGATGTTAACCGAACTGAAAAAATTAGTATGGCCATCAGACAAATCAAGGGCGTCAAAACAGAAGGACCATATAACATACCAGCTGAATTGTTCAAAGCGGACATATAAGTAGCTACAAAGATCTTTCGTGTTGTTTTCAGCAAGACTTGGGAGAAAGAACAGATTGGAAAGAAGGAGAACCGATCAGGATACCAAAGAAAGATTTTATCAAGTGTGAGAACTACACTCATCATCACTCTACTCTCAATATCAGGAAATGTTTTCAACAGAGTGTTACTGAACATAATCAATGATTCAGCAGATACCTAACCTCGAGATCAGCTAACCGGTTCCGTAAGGATCGATCGTGTACCGAAGCATTGAATTTCACTTAAATTGTTTCGTAATCAAACATTTGTCGTTAAATCAGTAGGTTTCATATTATAACCGGTATGTCGTAGTGAAGAGTTCAAAACTAAAAAAATGAAATTTTTATCCAGTACAGTATAATTCTCTATAACTTTTCAATTGATCTAATTTAATAATGAAAACAACTTTAATTTGTCCGATTTTCACATTTTTTTACATTTTAATATCATCAGAAAAACAGTTTGTCATAGATTCGCCATATTTGATTGAGATCGACTGTTTTTTGTGTGGAGATAAATTATATATCCCAGTTTAAAAAAATTAATGATTTTCTAGTAATATATAAAAAACTTTTGGAATGATCTATGTTGTGTTAAGGATAGTTTGCTTTATGGCTAAGCATGGGATGATAAATTACTGAAAAAAATGATTATTGTATAACAGTATCTATATACTATTTAATATGGAGTTAATTAGCGATGATAGTCAAATTTTATCATAAAGATACTACTTTCAAGCTACTGAAATTTCTATCGCTTGTCTGTTATTGATAAATTAAAATGTACACTAGACTTTTTTGAACATAAGCACTTGGATGTAGATTCATCTGACCAACGAATTCCAAATATAATGTAAAGCTTATCTGAAGTTCCAACAATAGTGGCCATTCAAGATCAGAATCTACACGTAACGGTTTATACTTTTGTAAGTTATCTGGAAGTTCTGGAAAATTTCTGGAAATTAGTCTATTAGTTAAATGTACACTAGTCGAAGGTGTATATCAAGTTATTTTATCGTAAATTTACCCAGTAAGTTAAACAACAAAACAGCATCCAACAGGCTACAACTCTTTACTACAGATGAATTTATAAAAGAAAGAGAATAATTTTTAACTAGTCAATATTTTTACAAATGAATGAATTTCCAGTCGATTTCATCGTATTATTTAAGCTTGATATATAGATAACTTAGAAATTTACGCAATAACTTTGTTTGAAAAATCATAATAGCATATTAAGGATCACAAATCATAGGTTGAAATCATGAGGAATAATAATTATTTGTAAGACTATAATGAATGTTTGAATATATCATACATATTATTATACAAAATCTGTGAAATTTGAGAAAATACAGCTTTTTGTCACATGCTGATATCAAATTTTACTCTAAAGTATTCAGAAGGGAAATGCCTAACTGACAATTGTATGGTCGCTAATGACTACCAATGAAAAGAACATCCTGGAAGTTCTGATGAGAAGCTATCGTGTGAGGACTCAGACGGGTCAAAAATTCACCAGTTATCTCTGTTAGTACTGAATACTGATTACAACATATCACAGATTGACTGAACTTAAATATGTGAAATAACAGTTTCACATTACGTGTTTCAAAGACGCACTGATTAATCCTGATTGTGAAGTTTATGGTGTGAATTGATCATGACATAGATTTGTATCACAATGTTATTAATGAAATGCTATTCATGAAATTAGGATCACTGTTGCATGATTTACGACTATACGACGATTTTTTAAAGATGTAATTCAGTTTTTTAAACATCTAAATTGACTAAAAATGAAAAAAGAGTACTTATTCAAAAGAAACGATGCCGATTTAGTCAACAAAACTGACAAGTCGATCAAAATTGTATCTTTTATATTCTAGCTACTCACAAGTAGTATATTTTATTAAGACAAAATGAAAAGTTTGTTTTAGTAGGACACCCACAGTACCCAAAAAAATTAAACATTCACCTTAATACCAGACAAAATTTGTGAAAATAAAGCTCAGCTGGGGAGTACAAATGACAATAACTCTGATAGATAAATGAACTGATTTGACGGTGATAAATCAACGAACTATACACAAACACATCAAGAAAAACTTGATTATAGAAAGGCTGGTTGACAGACATACACATAAATAACAGGACATAACAGGTGCATTTCGATCACTTTGGACCGTCACATCAACAAGCGCAATCGAAAATTCCGAATTTAAACAAGTTTAATTGAAACGATCAATTGATTTTTCTGAAAAAAATGGGCTAATAAATGTCAATATCAATAATGTTTAAATTAAACATATTTATCCGGTGGAGTATTCAAACTTGTCATAAGGTAGCAAATTTGGTTTGTCAATACTACATAACATTGTATAATCTGGTATACAGTGACGATATCACCAATAACAGATGTTAAAGTGTCATGTTTGTCAAAAATGTCAGTTATGTTCTCATATTAAATAAAATTACAGTTTTTACAGTGACACAGTATCATCAATGTTATACATTTTGATTTTTATTACTGAATAAAATCTGTCATTCAAGCTTTTAACTTAGACATTAAATTAAACTATTATATTTGTATAGAGTAGTTAAAGAATTTTGTAAATTATTTTCTTCAATTTTGATGCTTTTATTCACTAATAGTGATACTTTTAAAGAAATCTGTCAACTTTCCCAAATCATACAACAACATAAATTCTAGAATTAATTTGAAGACTATATAATCAGTTATGTATAAAAATTACAATAAAGTTCTCTCCTGATCTATTCACAGAGTTGATTGTTTTGTGATAAACTGAGAGAGAAAATATTTAAATATTTAATTCAAAGGAAACTAAGGGCTGTTTTTAAAAGTAAACCTCTAAGTATTGAATACTTTCTATTACATTTAAGTGAATATTCAGATCGCAAGATAATTTGATGCAATATGGATCTGAATACACTGGAAATTCACAAACACTCAATTCATGCATTCATATCTCCAGACTGATATGACTTCAATGAATATTTCAGATGCATCTAGCCGATAGTTGTAATCTTTGGTTGTTCTCGATGTTAATAGTTCTACATCAAAGTAATTCCTCATTCCATTTCTGCATGTTGTGAATCTACTGGAGGGATGAACATTCCAGTTCATGTAAATAATATTAATAGCCTATTTACTCATTATCTTTGGTTCATGTATATTCTAATTTTGTAAATTTTTCTTTCCGTCTTAGTTAAAGGATTCGTCGGAAGTCATCATCCACTATACTTCAACCAAGAATCAAACTGAGAACTTTCAGCTTCACGCGCGTACACTTAACTGTTTATGCCACACTGTATATTGATTCAGTAGTTCAGAGGTTTGACATTTCTGAGTGATACCGAAGGTCCTGCATTCCATCGCCTGTCGAGGTGTCGTGGATATGCATTGCTGACAAGTCATACACAAGGACGAACCAACCATCCAGTAATTTTAGGTTTTCAATGGTTGTCTAATTTGGATAGGTTATTGATAGAGATAAAATTCCGCTGTCTCAACTGCCCTATATTGATGATTGCTTGATTGTCACCTAGTAAAACAATTAGTAGAATTTGGAATAGCTTTCGATTACACATGCAATTCAACATGACCTAGCATAACATCAAACTGTCCACAAGAACTTGAATCAAATTTAGTTTATCGATAGTCATTGTAAACCACTTATTGTGGCATTAGATTAGAATTTAATCAATAAGAGTAAACATTACTTACATTTATTTGACTTGTACATTTTGCAATTTCAGGTAGTGTATTTTGTATTTTAGATAATATATGGTTTAAATTTTCGTTTTAACCTTACTCAAAAACGATTATTACAATGTTTCTTTCATAAAAAAATTACTTTACCACCAAGGAAGAAAAAAACATTTCATTAATCAACCAAAATGTCATCAGTCACACTAGAAAAAAAGTCAAATGATCGTTGCAAAATAACTTGAAATTTATAGTCATAATAATAAATTGCTTTTTGTCTAATTATATCATTGATGAATATATACATGGAAAAAAAGTAACAACACTAGAAAATAGATTAATGCGATAGTGTTTATCTACAAGATACAGTTAGATGAATAGATTTCTTTTTATTCATTTGGATTTTTTCCTCTTTTAATTGGCTAGTTTACGATAAATTTAATTACATTTGAAAATAATTATCATAATTAGTAATCTAAAATAGGATAATAGATTCCATCTAATGAATGCGTTAATGATTAGTAGCGTTGAACAATTCAAAACTGAAACAAGTCTATGAACCGATGATTCTGAACTTTAAATAGTGTCCCTTTTTTCAACTATAGCCAACTAATGACGCGAATTCTCCCCATATTTTACACATTTGGAATCATCAATCAATCATTGTTAGACCACCATCAGAAACCTGGAAGCATCCAGCGGTGTTAATTTCTAACTCTGATTGATCTATGGATTTTGCCCGACCCCACCCATTTGTCTTTAGTAGTTACTTCCTACACCCGACAGGGTTGTTGACTTTTTTATATAAATAAAACAAAAACATAATTATTGTATAATCATTTGTCTCTTCATCATCGTCTTCTCAACATACATATAATACTCACCTTTTTCCCTTTATGAACTGGATAATGTTGTGGTTCTAAAGCAGGAGTTGGTGTCTAAATACAAAAAACATAATGGTGGACGATTAGTGAACACTTTCAATGTAAACAGACAATTTAATTGTACGATTGTGGTTTATTTTATAAACAGGCATGAAAGGGTATACTGATGTACGGTTATTAACAAATTTTATTATTCAGAAGGTGTATATTGAAATGATATCTTGATGGACACTGATTTCCAAATAGTTATATGCAGCTCGCATTGGCTTGAGTACTATCTTATTGTAATATAAAATCACCTACATATTTGAGATTAAAACATCAATCTCCTGGCAATGAATTCGCACTACTGTTACCTACATCAGTCAGAACTATTTTCAGAATATCATCGATGGGAAAGCTGAAGATGAATGAGGCGGCTGGACTACCATGACGAACGCCACTTTGGTAATAAAACCTCGGAGAGAAGTGGTCTTCACTATGCATAGGAATAATCTCTATGTGATTCCTAATATAATAGAAACTTATTTAGTCTAGAAGATAAACTCTTATACTACTTTTGATAGGTTACTATCGTTTTATTTATCCTCATAGGAAAAAAAAACGCCGCTTTGCTGAAGGATTTATCTTTATGTAAAATAGATATAATGTGACTGGCAGTAAAGTTCAGGGTGCGCCTTTCGTGCTGGATTCCATTGTCAGTCATATTTATTCTTTATAAACTTTTATTATAATGACTAGACTGAGGCAATCCGCATAAGATGCCCTTATACCAACCAAGTTTGATTAAACTTCAGTCAAAATATTAACAATGGGATAAGCAAAATCATTTCAAATTGAATGATATTAAACTTTTTTATTTAATGAGGTTAGATTTGATTCAATCAACTATTGAACATATTCATAAAATTCACTGATAACTTACAGGTTTTGGAATCGGTAAATTAACTGCATCTGCTTTAGACAGCTACCAACAAATAAAAATGAAAATAAACACAAAAAAAATACATACAGCCTCTGTGAAATATATTTTTGATAGTGAAAAATATTTAAAAATGTAACTCATCATATTTGATTAGAATAACATTGAATGAATGAGTTGGATAAAATCTATTTAAATTTAATCCAATACAAATTAAGCTGTAATTGTAATCTGCGGTACTTTCATTAATTCTTTAGACAACTAACAGTTATTGAAAAGCTAAGAGATGTTATTGTCTCTTTTGAAATTCCACCAGGGTATACACACTATTTTTTTAGATAAAGAAATATTATCATTGAATTATTTTGATAAGTTTTTATCCTTCTACTGTACTAAAATATGTTATAAGTTATTGTTATATAGTCTTAATTGTAAGTTAATTTTTAATTTATAAGCTGTAGCTACATATTTTATTATTCATAAATTATAACTAACTATGAGTCTGTGATTAAGCTTTATATAGAAAAAAGTGTACACTTGACAAATCACAGATTAGTGATCAATTTCATGTTGGTCTAGTTTATTAATGTAGACTGAATCTTATTGGTTAAACAGTAAACATCTCATTCTTAAAAGGGCGGTTATTCGTGCCCTAAATAGCTCAATTGGGATTTCGAAGTCTAAAAATACTATACTACACTATAAATACTCAACCTGCGACAATTTCCAGTTATATATTATTTAAAGCCTCTAACTAAAAATTATAGTTATTCCCCAGGCTTCACACAAGGGACTGGTGTCCATCGCTGTGATTCAGACCAATATCGAATAGCTTAATGAGTTTACGCAGTGATAGTCTGATCGCTTATTCAATATTTTTAGTAGGACTATATTTAAGCTTGGGTTAGACTTTAGGCCAGGTAGTGGTTGTGTATGCCTAATCTATGTCTCAGCCTAAACTAGGTATGCTTTAGTCGATTTTATCAAAGGGATGCTTACCGTGATTACGATTTAAATTACATTTTCGAATGATAAGAGATTAGTACTAAATATAGTGACTAAAACTTCAAAAAATCATTGTCTATCTTGTAATGAAATGTAAAATACGAATTCACTGTCATTTAAACAATACGTAATTTCCTTACAAGATTAATAGTGTATTTTTAAAATTTGGGCAATGCATTTACATGTGAAGGCAAACTGTTTAAACACATGAAATTAGGCAATGAAAATGAATACTACTATGGTTTACCACTATGAATGAATTAGTTATGAATTATTTATTTCATGTCTCTTTCACATAGAAATTTAAGATCCACTATATTCACAGAAAGGAAAAAACTCATTTAATCGAATAAAGGCTCATGACATCCAATGATTATACCAAGATTATCGTGATTATTGGTTGGCTGAAAGTAGTTTAACGGTTTTTAATCTTGTTGGCCGACGCGATTAAAAACTGCATATTTTATCATGACCGGTTGTGTAAACCAAGTAAGAACTCAAACAATAACTCATCAGCGATACTAGTTGAGAAACAAGCTATTTCATAAGATGATTGAAATTCTCATTATGAACCAGGCCACTGTACAGATCATGAAACTTCAATACAGAATAATAGAGAATATTAAACTACAACAAGACAACTATTCTAATGAAAACTAAACCTTGATATAAACTATCTCCAAACAAATAAACCAGACTACATATTTTATCATCTACTAATGTTATATATGGCATGTCATTAATTAAATCAAAATATAATTTAACTGTGAATATGCAGAAAATATTTGTTCACACAGCAGGAATTATTTCATTGTTTAAACGAGTAATGTTTTGAACAACAAAAAAAAACACTGTTGCAAAGATTATGTACTATGAAAGTGTTTTGCTTCAATAGTTACAATGTTTAATTTATTAGTTATGCAGGAAAAAAAATCAACATTATTTGTTCAGCTTCTTTTTCTTTTTCTTGGTCAAGAAAACATAAATTCTAGTCTACATGATACAATCGACATGTGTTGAAGGAGTGTCTTATATTTTGAGGACTATAATTCGTGAATTCTGTTCAATTTGTAAAAATACTATCGATATGATAAATAACTACTGTCGAACTTAAACATCAATAAATAGAATTAGGAAAAATAATTTTAGTTCTAATGCTAAAATAGTGTAGGATGCATCATTTTACGAGACTGAATGGAAAAGATATAAACTGAGTAAAATGTTTGTTCTGTTGAAAAAAATTTAAGAAAACTTATAATCTGTGTGAGATTTCAACAGATTTGAAATTAAATGTTCACCTGGTAAAATAACTATTATGCACGAACGACTAACCTCTGGACCACTGAGCCGGTATCTACCGGTGTTAATGTTTAAGTTGATCAATTCACGGAGTTGCGCAACCTCATGCACAGTCTTCGGTAGTTACTGTCTAAACCCGAAAAGGTTGAATTTCACTGGTCAGGACTTCCCACTAGAACTCGGAGAAGATTCCTCACGAAGATAGTCATTAGTGAGCAAAGGTAATTTGAATTACGGAGTTGTAAAGATTGTTAAGTTACACATTTTGAAACTATGATGCGCACTGCTGGTGAGTCCCATACCAGGACGAAACGGCCGTCCAATGCTTCCAGGTTTCTAGTGGTGGTTTAACATTGATCGATTCATGGTTTCAAAATATGTAACTTAACAATATTAACAACCCCGTAATGTAAATGACTATTAATCACAAGTTGAACAGGGTACCATAAACTGGTCATTGAAAAAATATTTGGTCAAAGTGTATCATGATTTCATACTGTTTTACTCTAGGAATTGTTTATTTATGCTAGTTGAAGTAGTGATATTCATAACTACAAAGTCAGCAAAATGAAAAGGTTGTATTCTTTTGAAGATGTATCAATTTACTTTGAATGAATAGGCTTGCAGTTTTCCGTAAGAAATAGAGTCAACTATAAAGCTATCGAAAACTATGGAACATTGAACGAATGTTGATTTTTAGTTCAAAAGAATCAGGCATATTACACCAACGATGTTATACATGATAGTGTACACTATTGTAATGAAACAACTGTCTGGATTATTCGTTTAATGAAATTCAGTCGGTGATGTTAACGATCTTTACAGAAATCCAGCGGCCTTTTGATGAAATTCTTTATTAACGCTTTTTTTTGAGTAATCGAGAATTATACTTAATTCTCTCAGCTTAATATAAAACAAGTTACAACTGTTTAATAGAATTGTTGACTGAAAATGAAATACTCTTTATATATTAACAGATATCTTCACTGATATCACTTAGGTTTAAAGTTTATGAAATATCTATTAAAAACTACTAATAAAACTAGGTTTGTCGATCAATAATTATTCAGTATTAATCGACAATAAAACTCTTAGCTGAAATTACGTATTATTAAATATTTCCAGGCCAGTTTTGTAATTCATAGTAAGACAGAGAAACAATACTGTAACGGTTATAATTTTCAGTGATATCCCAATGAGTAGAAATTTGTACTGTGAGTAATGCTTCTAGGGTTATCTACACTGAACATTTTATTTGAATAATCCTATGCCAAATTCAGTAAAAAAGTCAGGCATAATGCAAAGATAAATGAAAAGAGTTATGTATTCACTAAATATTTTTATTTTCTATTAAATATCTTTTCACTACAGACATCAAATTGATTAACACTGTTCAAAGTTTTTATATCATTAATTAATTAGAGTTACGGAGATTAGTGTTTGCTGCACAATGAAATCATCAGTCAGTCATTGTTAGACCACCATTAGAAACCTGGAAGCACTGGAGGGGTCGTTTCTTCCCGGTACAGGACTCGTCAGCAGTGGGCGTGCATGACTACTGCACCTCGCAGGATTCAAACCCAGGACGTTCAATCATGCGCGCGAACGCCGAACCTCTGTGCAACAAACACTGATCTCCATAATTCTAATTGAAAAAATCGTAAAATGTGCTCACTAGTGACTAGCTTCGTGAGGAAATTCTCGGAGTTGTATTGAGAAGACGAGATCAGTGGCGTTCAACCCATTCGGGTGTAGGCAGTAACTACCAAAGACAAGTAGGTGAGGTTGCGCAAAATCTGCAGACTGATCAGAGTTAGACATAAAAACCGTTGGATGCCGGTCCAGTGGTCTAGAGGTTAGTCGTTCGCGCACGATACCGAAGGTCCCGGGTTCGAATTCTGCGAGGTGAATGAGTCGTGGAAGCGCACTGGTGATCAGTCTCATGCGAGGATGAAACGGCCATCCAGTGTTTCCAGGTTTCTAATGGTGGTCTAACAATGATTGATTGATGATTTCAATGTGCATCACTAATTAGAGCTTGAAATAAATTGGCAAATTACTTTAATTAATAAGTTTCATGAATAATAATTATTACTACTATTATTCATATATTCGAAATTGTGTATATTTACAATATTTTTTAAAAATCAAATAAATAAACTTACCAAACTGATAATACGCCATGTATTAGTTTGTTCAATTGTTTTTAAATAAAATATATCAGCTTCTTTGATATAAGCCATTGTACCCACTGGGAAAGTATGTGATACTTTACTTAAATCCTTTTCAGTATTTAAGACCATTGCCTTTTGTTTTTCATTGAAAAGTTAAACAGAAACAAATTACTCAGTAGTAATAATAATAATAGTAATAACAATAATTATTTTAGTATAAGACAATTTATGTTCTAGAAAGTTAAAAATCTACCTATAAATATGTCAGCAACAACAATTTCCTCACTAATATACCCAGTCTGTTCAGTTTATTGAAAACATTGATAACATTTATTACCAAAATGAGACTGTATTCTATTGTAGTCTCAAGTGTTCAGTGAAGTCCATTTAATAAAATGGTAATTTTTATCAATAATGTTTTAGTAAAAAATAATATTCACAAAAATAAGTATTTTTAAGTTATTCAACTTATGATTGAATGAGTTTAAAGCTATGACAATATTAATAATAATAATAATAATGAGTACATTTTGTAATGTAATTTATGAGAAAACTAATGCAATAGATAAAAAAAGTCATTTTAATTTCTATCTCTAACAGAAGTGTTACCATAAAATTTTATTACACAAAGTTACCACTAGTAACTTTACTTGTAAGGAAAGTAGAATTCGGTAAAGACTAATTTATTGTTCTGTATACAAATATAAGGAAATTAAATTAATAAGATGGAAATAGAAAAGGTTGGAATAACAACAATAGTAATAATAACTAACACAGTGAAACTAAGTATAGAAAATATAATTCAAATGAAATATGATATGCAACTATTCTAAAGCATTTAATCACACTCATTTTTAAGAAGGAAAAGTGATATGATAGGATCAAAAGTATGAAACTGAGTATATATCACCAGTCTTTGTGTTCTCACACCACGTTATCCGATATAGGATTGTAGTGCCTCCACATATATTCCAGTTCGCCTGCATTTAATTTGATTAAGCCCTTTCGATTAATTTGTTCGACCAAGCCATTGATGTAGAAACAATTTATATGTACTATTCGTTCTTATTATTGTCTTGTTTGTATGAGCTCACATGACGTGTCATTTGACCTTGTTAATCATTCGTCGCTTTTATTCATGTGTGCCTATTTCTCTTGTTGCATGTCTGTCTTATATTTGTCTGACTATATATTCTTAGTCATGCTCTATCTCTTGGAGTTGGCTCTTAGCCTTCTCCAACGCGCTTCGCCTGTTTATTCGCTTCCTTCGCCCATTCGTTCGCATTGTAATCCAAGGAGTTGACTCATTAGCCTTCTCCAATTCACGTCGTTTCATTCGTTTTATTCGCTGCTTCTCCACATCGCTTCGTATGATTCGCTTCAGTCGCTCATTCGCTCGCCAGTGTACACTACAAATGGTGATCCCGACGTCAACAAAATCGGCCACCATAGGATTTTCGTGCCAAACACAAGTCAAGTAGATTCAATTAAAATCAGGCAATGAAAATTATGAGATTTGATAAAGATTCAACATTAAGGAAGGAAGCGGGTAGATCATGAAAAAATCTACTCCACTATTACCTAAAATCTCAAACCATACAACTTATAGGATTACCTCATTAACTACATCTTCCAATACAGTTCATAACATAAGGTAACCATTTATAGTCATCTATTACTCGCTATCAGCTCATTCAATTAAAATAGTGGTTAACATTCATATTAATGCTAATCTATAACTACAGTTTTCACAACAAGATTATTTTCTGCTGGAATTTTCTAACGTTTACTTAATAATTTCGCACATAATTTAAATGTAAATTTTCGGTATTCTATTAATAACATTTTACTGATCGGTTTTGTCTCGTACAATTAGATAGAATTAACAGGATAACAGTTAAAAATGTTAAAGGTTTTAAAGATGTTACTTTAATCCAAAGAGAGTTTTCGTATAGAATTATATCACCTGAATAATCATTGAAAACTATCAGCAACTAGGTAGTGAGATTATCCAAGTTTGACAATAATCGTTAATAAATCATTTTCATTATATATATGATCAAACTGACGAGGCTCAGATATTGCTGAGATGATGGTGTCTTTAGCCTGTTGATTTGAAATTCAGTGGCTCTAGTTCTAGTCTGCTAGTGATTATGCATGTCAAATTTATGAGTCTCACTAATTATTTATTATTGTGTAATGAATTCGACTATTCCATATGTCTTTTTATAGTATAGTCATCATCAACTTCCCAACAATTTTATCACTTATGAAAACAAGTTTCAGAAGAGTAAGCTCCTTTCTTTATCTCCACGAAACTCGTTTTCTTTGTTTTATACTATTTTTTGGCAATACATTTTTCATAAACATACTCATTATACAATGCTGCACAACTAATTATCAGGTCATCTATACCAATTTAGTATTTTTAGAATAAAAATTTATTGAAATCATCAATCAATCATTGTTGGACCACCATTAGAAACCTGGAAGCACTAGACGGCCGTCTCGTCCAGTGTAGGCAGTAACTATCAAAAACAAATGGGCGAGGTCACGCGAAATCCGTAGACCAATCAGAGTTAGACATTAACACCGCCGGATGCCGGCCTAGTGGTTCAGAAGTTAGGCGTTCGCGCGCAAGGCTGTAGGCCCTGGGTTCGGATCCTGCGAGGTGCAGGAGTTGTGGATGCGCACTGCTGATGTGTCCCATACCAAGACGAAACGGTCGTCCAGTGCTTCCAGGTTTCTAATGGTGGTCTAACAATGATTGATTGATGATTTCAAATGTGTAAAAACACAAAACCTCCAAAAGTCTGCCCGAAAAATTTATTGATTCTAGTTGACTGAGAAAAATTCAAATGAGTCAACGATATTCATGTAACTCAATCAACTGAACATTATGTCAGTAAAAACAATTAATTAACACCTAATGTATCATTGTAACTTTTTATTACACTTGAATATTTTTGGTGGTAACATATCATATCTGATCGATAAAAATATCATGAACAGTAAATTATAAACAATAGACTTGAAACAATCGACATAAATCAATGAAAATAAATTAGACTAGTAGAAAAATGATTCAACTTACACCAAAACCAGTAATTTCACCATTATTGTTATTATTATTATTATTACCATTGTAAGTGTTGTAATTATTTTTAGAACCATTTAAATCATGATTTGAATTTTTTTTCAATGAAGAGCTACTATCCGCTGCATCACTTAAACATGAACATTCACCTGGATCACCTTTAGGACCACGAAATTGTTTTTGAATTTCCTTTTTTTGAAAAGAATGTCAATTGAATGAATGAATAAATGAAAGAAATAAGTTAAAAGATAAATGAAATAGAGAAATAGAATGAACATTTTATTCGATAACTTATGTTTAAAAACTGTAAATCAGTAATCTAATCAAAATGCATCTATAATAACAGTTGACAAAAACTATTGTCAGTATGATCAATGATCAATGAATGAGGCAAAAACTATCTCAACTAAAAAAAGTGATTTTGAATATTAGAAAAAAAAACAATTATTTACCGGTTGTAATATAAAATCTTGAATAGCTTGTTTAATAACTGAAACTGATTGTTCATTTGTAAGATCTATTTCGCCTGGATCACCTTTTTCTCCCTTTAATATAAGGAAAAAAAATTATAATTAGATCTATAATAGTGTGAATATACATGTTCATTTATAAACATTTCGCTTGATATGAAAGATATATCAAATTAATCGGATTCATTTATACGAATATACATAAATGTTAATAGATAAGAAGAAATTAAGGACTGAGTAATTTGTTAAATTAAACTAACGATATTGATTACTTTTAAGATTATGCAGAACAACATAATTAGTCCCTCTGGCTTTCTCAATCATTCCGTTAGCTTAACAATATAATATTCTGTGCTTGATTATATCATGCACAATATTATTCCATGATATTGAAAATATAAGGAAAATTACTAAGCCATAAATTAAATTCATATTTTTACAAGTCTTTAGTAAAGATACAGTTACAATGGTAGTCGATTCAGTTTATGATGCGAGCATATATACACATAGTTAGTTATCGGTACATGGAAGAGAATATATCATTAGATACTCAGTCCTTCAGTTTAAAATAAATTCGTGAAATGTTATATTCTTATAGAATGATTATATTTCTTATCAAAAATAAATGACCATACTAATTCTTCAGCATGGTCTGTAAATGGTAATATAAATTAAATCACTTGACAAACTATAAACTAAATAAAGCGCCTATTCAAACTATAATCACTTCCAACCATCAAATCCAATCGAAACAAGATGACAGATATTTTACATCAATGATCTGAAATCAATATATATTGAACATTGAAGTATTGAAAAAGAAAAGAAACATCAGAAAATTATCACATGTTCATTCGATGAATATTCAAGTCATGAAGTAGGAAAAAATTATAGAACAAAATATTATCTTAGGGGGTTTTTCGTTAATAAGATTTCTTAATTATTAGAGTTTTTTCCACAAAACATGAAATTAAACCATATACATATTTATATACATACTTTTTCTCCTGGAGGTCCTTGAGGTCCAGGTATTGCAGCTTCTTTGCACTGTTCAATGCTACAAAATCCAGGCGGACCGGGATCACCTTTAGGTCCCTATAAATTTATAAAAAGGTATGGAAAATAATGAAATGTATGGTAAGATTCATTATGTACAGTGGTTGATCCGAATTGCGGAAACAAAATGGAGTTTATACGTATAAACAAGAATATAGCAATGATTGAATTAGTTAGTCATAAAAAGATAAATTGTCATTAAGAAAATTTTTAAAATTTTCCGAAATCCTACCATAGTATAATTTGTCACTTCGTAAAACCTTATCAACTTCCTGACTGTCACCATAAGACAAATTATACACATGGTTAGCTAACAAAATCCTATCTCATGTACAGCAATAGTTTCGGTTGTATAACGACCATTGTATTAAAAGTATGGAAGCGGATTATATGAAAAGGAACACAATCTCAGCTCAGCTAAATCACGCTGATGAACCAATAAGAAACAGGGAAATTTACGACATCAGCATTGAATTAAAGTTGGGCATTAAATTTATGGGCTAAAATTGAGTATTAGGTTTAAAATGACATCAGCTATACTAATCATAATTCACTATATAATGAATTATCCATTTATCTTTGCCATCTTTTGATTGGACGATACTGTCTACACTTCAAGGTCGTTCGGTAAGATAATTTAGGTCTACCGTTATCTCTTATCATTACAAAAAGATGAAACATTTAGATATAATGGTTTGTTATCATTATTATCACCAATATAATTATTATCATTTTTTTAGTACCAATTGGAACAAATAAATATTTATGACAAGAAGAACGATTATCTTTGTGTAATAAAAAAAACAAGAACAAATGATCTTATTTCAAAATGAAATTGCATATGCCGTTGGTAGTTTTTGTAATATTACCATTTAGTTAAATGTAATCTATCCGATCATTTGTCTGTTTCAAAATGTAAAAGATGATGTGAACCAAAATAAAGAGCATTGAACTAGTTCTTAGGGAAATTATACCACATACACACAGTCTTTCCACAGGAAAAACGGAACACTTGCACAAAAATAACTATGTTTTTATGCAAGAATGATGGCAGTGGTTGAATAAAGCCATTATAAGATGAAGTTTAAACCAACATACTCTCAATAACCTGTGTGTTACATGAAGAGGATATTTTATTTTAACTATTCTTCAATCTAATTTAGATAGCAGTGTACTGGACAAAAGATTCAGAAGTCTTTGATCTAACTAGATTTTTGAAACAAACCTTATCTCAGCTTCACATGTAAATCCACATACTGTCAATTAGGACTATTTTTTAAGAGATGAAATGATAATAACTGATGGAATAGAAATAAATTACATATTAATATATTTCTTTTTACCTGTATAACCGTCGTTTGATTAGATCCACAGGTTGCAGGACATGTTCCAGGTGGTCCTGCAGGTCCCTTGTTAGGATAAAGAAAGGAGAAAAATTAATAGAACCAAAAGCAAAATTGTTGAAAGACTTAGAAATGGTCAAGTGGCAAATACTTCTTAAGTATGGTAATGTTTTTTTCATCAGTAAAAATTAGATTTAAAAAAAAACACTGAAAACTGGCGATTAATGTTCTCCTACAATTGTTGAAAACCTTAAATTGATTCAACTTAAAACACTATCGGCTAGATATTGACATTTTGGTTCTTCATCAAGAAGAAAACAGTTTAAATGTAAGCTATCTTGCTTAGTTGGGTTGTAGGAAAGCAAATTACTGTTTATGCTAGGTTGTGTTATTCAGTACAGATCCAGTTTAATTTGAAAATCATTTTCATTTTTAAACTAATTGGTAGATCATTAATACCTACTCATTGGTTTTAAGATTTTGTCTTAGCTTTCGGTTTATAAGCTACAAATTTTAATTTAATGTGAGGGTATGGAGGTTGACTGTAAAGGATGAATCGATTTCATAATGTTTTTATTTTCTGAATGGTTTTGCGGTGAATAGAAGTTCATGAACTCCGAGGTTACGTAATGTACCTTAAGCAGTCAGAATATTTTACAAGTCATGCATGTGGGAACAATAAAAATAAGAATAAATGTCTTTGATAGTATTCGATGATGAATGTACAATAAACTGAAGTTGAAAATATTTTTACGATTGGTTTAGGGTCTAGTGATGTTGAGTCACGCTGCAAAATAATTGACTAGTGTGAGTATGATTTAGTGAGACTAAGTGGATGGGTATTGTTGAGAATGCATCCTTGTTTCCAATGGTCCTCTAAGGAATATCAGTACTTGATAAGAACTTAACCAAAATTGAAGATACTAGACAAAACCTTGTCCCAATAGCAAGTTTTTTTCCGGTTAAATATAACCGACAATATTCCAACTAAATATGATTGTATCAGGGTTCTAGAAAGATATTGTGAAAAGAGGAAATGATAGATCTCTTGTGACTGTGGAACACTAAGCGAATCACTGAATTTTTATTGACGAACCTTTATCACATTTAAGAGGACAGACGTGAAAATTAGCACAAGTAGTCGCACTGTTGGGTCACTGGATGACTAATATACAGTCATCAATAAATTTAAAAATTTCAGTCCTATAGGTATTGTTTTATGGTAAATCTCATATCACTACGTTAGATAATTCAACCTACATACTTCAATAATCCAAGGTCTCCTCCAAACTATCTCCAATTATCTAACATAGGGATTTAATTAATATATTTTAAATAAAGCAATAGAAGGATATGATTAGCTACGTAATACTTTATTTTGTCCAGTCTATTAAATAAGTGCTGTGTAGAAAAAATTCATGATTATTAATCATACAACCATATGTTTCATTATGAAAACCAACTAGCGCTTTCTTATCTGATTAACAGATGTGTCATTTTGCTTGCAGATAATTTCTTACAAAAGAAAAAGTGGAGAAATAATCAATTAACAGATTGTGACGATTAGTTCAGTTACATGGTAAAGTTTGTGAAATCAGTAATAAAACCAACTAGTAATGATTATCATTTGTTTGAATTATACATTTAGTATTTTTTTCTTCCATTATGTGTAAAGAGTGTTTTAACTTTCAGATTACATTTTCTCAAAGTTGTTTACCTTATCCGTTTTTAGTTTCGATAAATTATTATTCCACTCTACAGGATAATTCTTCAACTTTTAAATGAATCCCAAGTATAATGACTTATTGTAAATACAGTTCAACTAAAACTATAATAAGATCTTTCGTAAAAATGTTATGAGCTATGTTAATTTCCTTTTTGACATGAATAATAGTTATTTTACGAAGCCATAGTACAAATCAATTACTTGGTACTCTAGTAGCCTAATAAATAATCCAGTGGAGCTCTAAATGATGGATATAATTTAGAAGGAACCAGGAATAATCAAGGCGAACTGTATTTAGAAATCCGATTATTTTCATGAGACTCATTAGTATTCAGGTTATGTTTCCATATTATACTAACGAAAACAAGTCGTAAAACGTAACTTATCGAAATAGTCCGATACAGCAGAGTGTATTTCAATAGTTTTCAATATTTACTAGTCAAACAGAAGCTATGTTGCAAACTTTAATGATTATCGAAAATGTCATAAATTGTTTATTGATTCAAGTTTAATCCATGATGTATTTAGGGATGCATTTGTGTTCGTAGCTCCCGTTCTAATTCGCTTTAGTTAATTGATATTGTTCTCATTTTTTTTTAAAAGTGAAGTCTCTTGTGAAAAACAGTAGAGTCAAAAAATTTTCTACTTGTTTTTAGCATTCTAACCACAACGTGAAAACGACTTGGTGTTTTAAGGTTGCAAAGTAAGCCATAGGTGAGTGTGAAAGTGGTGTAATAAGTCAACAGACAATCCATATAAACAAAGGTTGCCACCAAGTTATCATTGTTGGTGTCCGTCGATTTCTTGTATCGATGTGTATGCACTGTGATTTCTTTGTTCAATGTTAACCAATATTATTTCACACACCGCCTTCTCTTCTCACTAATATTTAGTCAGGATAATCAAATTTTGAAATCATCTGTTTTTGTTGAACTGGACTGAGAATCAAAACATTTTCTATTTTTTTCAATACGAATCACTACTTTTTTTTCGTTAACTTAGAGATTTGCACTTTTTGCTATTTAGTTAATGACTTTGTTGCTTTATACGAAAGAAACCTATTAGCTATCATTTTTAGAGAATATCAATGCATTTTAAAGATGGATTTTTATGTAGCGGTAGTTGAATACATCTATCGTCAGAAGTGATCACATGACTGAAATTCGAATACCAAATATTTCCATTGGCAGGTCTGTATTATTATAATTATTTTGAAAATTTAGATACTTTTAAAGAATAAATCATTCAATTACTCATCAGATTCTTATGTCAGAGTTAAAACGTGAAGTTTGAACTAAAAAAAACTCACTTAAAACCTATTGTTTATTGTTTATCTAGTTTAAAAAATGTTTTAAAACCCACTCTTTAAACTAGACGTGATCAAATAGCACTTCAGTTTAAAATTTCATACTATATTTATAAGTTTATCAGTTGCCAATGCTTAACAAACATAACATTATTATATCATCATTATTTCTAGTTGTCTTCTTTACAAACAAGCTACTAAAACTTGTAATCATTCTTTACAATAATTCTCAACTTATGATAGCATGATTCAACGTTTATGTAATTAGGATTTATTTGATTGCTGGTACTGTCATTAACATTTAGAATTGTACTTAAAAATGTCATGTCTGATGGTATCTTTATCAATGATAGACAATCTAATTGCTCTGATTCAAATTTATTTGTTGAAATTTTTTTAATTTTCAAAAATTTTTCATAATTCACAAAAATCTTGAATGCGTTCAATACACAATTACAGTTCTTATTTTAAATGATGCAATAATGATAAGTAGTTTATTTATTTTAAAAAAAACTTATATGAGAAAGTTTTATCTTAAAAAACTGGTTATCCTAAATTAGTTCAAATGTTACAGGGATAAATAAGTATTTTTTTTGTAAAATATATAACACATTTTATTCTCTGTTTTTTTTTAATGAATATCTTTAACTACGAGATGTAATTTCGATTAACTATTGAATTATGTTTGAAAAGCACTATGCATAGTTAGCTGCAACCTAAAAAAAGTTTTACTTATTGCTTGTAAATCTTTAAAAAAATTTTCTTTCAAATGTAAGTACAATAATTCAATTTATGATTCTTTTATTCATATGATTGAATGTACAAATGTCAATTTCCTAAAAATCATACGCTATATTTGAATGCATTAGTTAACTAGATTAAAACTTATCCATTTTACATTACGGGGTTGTGAAGATTGTTAAGTTACACATTTTTGAAACCATGAATCGATCAATGTTAGACCACCGTTAGAAACCTGGAAGCACTGGACGGCCGTTTCGTCCTGGTATGGGACTCCTCAGCATTGCTCATCCACGACTCCTGCATCCCGCAGGATTCGGACCCAGGACCTTCGGTATTGTAGGCGTTCACGAGGTTTCTAATGGTGGTCTAACATTGATCGATTCATGGTTTCAAAAATGTGTAACTTATCCATTTTATTTTAACAGTTTATAATTGTATTTTTTGATTGTTATTATTGAAACAGTTTTCAAATGAATGTAAACATATGATAACAATTAGAAAATATGAATATTTAGATACAATATATTACAAGTTAGTACTTTTCATAGTTTTAATGTTCTAGTCAAAACAGGCAATCGATAAATTCTAATAGGCTTAGTCAATGTTAGTTTAGATAACAAAATGAAATCAGTAAGAACAGTATTGGAAATCAAAGAATAATGAATTGTTGTTTTACGTAATTTTCAAACTTTTCAGTTTTATACGACGATGAACGTATGTCTAATCAATGGAAGCATTAAAATAATACCATAAGATTAAGACGTAATCATCGGAATTTCTAACTTTGGTCAATTCCTCCATATAATACGACTATCATCTGACTCTCTTTCAACATAGTTGAACTCTATCAGTTATAATCTTTAGCTTGGATTTTGAGAATTTATCCTGAACCAAGCCATTAAAAGCTTATGGTTAAATTGGATATAAGACTAACCATTACCCACAATTCATTATTTCCATAGTGAAAATGATCTTACTTAGTCAAATAATTTAGTATAAAAAATAAATTAAACACAAGAATCTATAATTTGATATAGGTTCCAGGAATAAAAGCTAATGGTGTTACGCCTGCACGTAAACCCGTCATTTTGATATGCTTGAACTATTACGAGTTTACCTAGTCGGAAAACAAGAGCGAAGATCCAGTGACACGACATTCTACTCAATCCGATTATCCCAACCCCCACTGAGTAAAAGAAGAAAGCTTGATACGAAGTAGAACCTGTATTCTACAAGCATCCTGAAGGTACGAGGTCCGAGTCCAGAAGTGGATAAGGATCCCGGACCGGGTCCTTGTCATAGAACGTTACAGATAATGCGTATTTATACATTTTGGTCGAATAGGAAACAACATCGAAGTCTATGACATTGACAGTTAAGACGACCAATAGGAAGCAACATTTGAAGTGACATTGATAGCCAGAACAACCAATAAGAAACAACATTGGAGCACGTGACATTGATATCTAGGACGACCACAAAATTGACCAGTAGGAATTAACCGATAGGAATAGACCAAGAATCCTCTAAGGATATTGGATGAATATCCTAACATGGTTAAGTAGTTAATATATTAGTCAGTGAAGGTTGTATTCGTCACGGATCGGTCTCATCTAAACTAACATTAAAAACCAAGGAAATCTGGACAGCTGTCTAATCTTAGTATGAGGCTTCTCAAAGGTTGAAGAGGTTCCGTAGATTGATGACTATCACAATTTATCGGGAACTGAATAAAGTTGAAATTGTACCATTGTATAGTTAAGTAGTCTCTGTCAGACTTGAAGATTTCAGGTTCGATCCATGGACAAGATTTTACTTAAGCATTGATTGGGACAAAATAGCAGTCTAAAACTCCTTAGGTTTTCAATGAAACCTTAAGATCGAAATAAGACGATTATAATATATAAATCAAACTAATCTGCACAAAACCCCCTCAGCGGAATTTGTAAAGAATGTTTTAAAAGACTTTTATTCATGTTCATTTATGTGTTAAATATTTCATTTATGAGTACGCTATTTTACAGAAAGGAGATATAAAAGTAGCAGAATCACATCAGTCAACTTCGTATCTTATATATAATAATACAATAGTTTAATTTTCTTTGATAGAATCTGTCTGTTTACACAATTATTGAGAAATACTGTCAGTCACATTAATTCGAGTTGATTGAATAAATATGGCTGTTTATGAAGCATAAAAGGTCTTATATTTTATTCTCAAACAATATTTCCAAAAATTATTATACATACCATAGGTCCTGCATCACCACGATCTCCCTATAAATTGTATTTAAAAAAAATAATAAATTCTAAGTAATAATAAAAAAAAACTTAATTATTTAATCAATTTTAAAAAGTTAAACATAACATCAGAATTCTTAAATATTTTATTAAGCTAAAATAACATTGTACTTCAACTCGATTTGAAATGGAATAGGATGAAACCTCAACAAAGACATAACTATTCATTTCTCAGCTGAATAGTCGTCAATATAGATGACAAGAGTACTATGGATTTCATTGTTTAACATTATGGAATAATTTCGAAGCTGATTTTTATGACAAGAAAAACATAAATTCAAACCTCTAAATAATTATGGAGAGCATAGTACCAGTGCATTTCTACGCAGAACAGGCAAAAGTTTTATGGGACTTATCAAATATATTCAGACCTTAAATGATACCATCGTTCTAACAGATTCCAAAAGACCGTTATTAATTAATTGACTTTATTCTAATAATTAAAAGTAAACAGTTCTAGAAATGCCTAGTTATAGCGATAATCCATTACGTGGACAGTTTTCAATAGGGAAGGGCTTAGAAAAATATGTGATTGTGATGATCTCGCAACTGACATTCAGTACTTTTATATGTTGGTATTTAATTTAGCACAGAAGTTGATAGGTCAACATTGATTCGAATAGTTACGGCTCATTTGCATGTTTGATTTTGTTTATTTCACCCCAAAGCCTTCTCCACTATAAAATTTATTTCATATAAAATATTGCAAATGCATAGAAAGTCCGAAGAACTAAACGACATCATCAATTTTGGAGGTATTTAATGTGTAATTTCATTATTGAAGCTACCTACAATAAGAAATGTCAGATACTCAACATCAAAATGCCTTATTTGATAGTGACAATGTTTTTTGCGTTTCTCAATTTAAAAAATTATATTCAGAAATCCTTGAACTTCTGGTATTATTCAACTTCAAATGTCATTCTTAACCCACGTTTTGTGTAATAACAAATTCTACATTCTTGTAGACTAAACTCTGTGTGAATAACTCAAGCATTGACGATATAAAACATAGGCCGAGATTCTTGTATTAAGAGCTCAACATTTCATGATACTACATCATTTCATATCTTTCAGTCATACTGAATAAATGTGGTCACAATTCCTATGGTCTTATTCTGAGCAGACAAGTTCAAGCATCAGGTCATAAACACCGATTTAACAGTCTATTTCTTGTAAAATATATCAAACTCGTTGTGATTAAATCGGTAGAATAGTCATAAGATTAATATACGGATGTGAACCTGGATTTAAATCTAGGGATTTGAGAAATTATACACCGTTCCAAATTAATACTACCAGTGCACAGATAATGATTTTTCTAAAGCTCAATAATTTTACGTGATTTCAACCAATTTATGTTGTTTGGTAATCACTAAACGTTAAAGAACATAATCGAATTGGAAATACTATACTTAGGCCAGGAAACCCACCAGCCGCTAAAGGCATGGGCAAAAAGGGGCAGTTACTACCAATGTTCAATAGTCTGGACTGCTGTTCAAGCTTTTGGACCGACAATGAGACCATACTTTATGAACGACTATCCAACGATGCCAAACTGACCTTGAGAATACCTTAATATTGTCTAAAGTGGGTTATAAATTAGCGCAAGGAACTAGGAATAGGATTTCGAGCTGGATGTAAACTGGAGGTTTCATCGACAACTGCCAAAATTGATTTAACCATTTGGATGGATTAATTTCGTGTCAAAATCCAACAATTGCAACCTCGAATGTGATTGGTCCGTCTGTAAACTATCGTCTTGCTGGACTAGTAGATCTTGTTTTCCTATGACCTGGTCAGTTATTGGCTTATTTTAGACTCAATTAAAACACTTGGTTGGGCAGACATGATTACAACTTTCAAATGAGTGCGTACAATAAGTTGTATAGTTAATTTGATTGGTGGAACACTTCATAGGAAGGTCAACTATCCATATTTGCATTATTTTACAATTGGTCAATTCTTCTGCACTGGGCTTGAGGATCGACAAACGATTTGTGAGAGTTCTGTTTTCCGCATTTTGTATCGATTACTGAGTTAGCATATCTCAAACGGGATTGCTTTTATCAACAACACAGCTTCGAAGCGGAATACAAATTATCATCCTTCTGTCCAACTATGTGGGTTTTGATGTTCTAAACTAGTTTTATTCAAGAATGTTAGTTTTTAATATATACAGAGCTTTATCACTTACCTTTTCTCCTTTCAACCTCAGAAGACCCTGGAAGAAAAAGTATGTAAAATGTTATAAAATACTACTGAATTTCTATGCCTGCTAACTTAATTTCATATTAACTAAAAAGTAATACTACAAAGTAACACAATTACAAAAGTTACACCTTAGACATAATTTCCTACTTGACTTACTAGTCGGATTTTAAAAAAAACCACTAGTCTAGGCACTTAGTATCAGTTGAAATGTTTCTACTTCATTTGTGAATGAATATTTTTACTAGTTGATTTTTTAATTACAACATAAATTATTAAAATTTAGTGTGAAATTTGTCATTTCAGTATGAACTGAAAATAAGATTTTATGCTATAAATATTTTGTTACTTTTCATTTTGCCTTGAATTAAAGTATGTGGTCCTTGAAGTTTAAAATTAGTTCGCATGTTTGTTGCGATCACTGAAAAAGTAGTGTAGTCAGATTTTTCATGAAAAATGTGACAGAGTAGTTGTTCATTCTTGTATACTTTTATTTATTTGGAAAAGAGATTTGGATGTGTGCAAAACTGTTCAGGTTTTTATTGGAATACGATTTTTAACTTAACAGTGAAAGAATGGCGATCCCGTGATAAGGGATCTAAATTGATGCCCAATACAATCACATTTTTTGTATCAAATCTGTAATGAACTTTAAGTTTATTCATGTTATTCACTGTACTTGGTTGTTTCTGTTTCATGGATTTCTCTTGTTAGATCTTCATTATTCTTGGTACCATTAGTTCCTTTTTTGCACCTTCCCTCTTTACAGGTGGAACGACTTGAATCTGTATGTTCTTGTATCACTTGTGTTTATATTACTCAGTTTTAAAGAACAGTCTTTTCTTTAATTTATTTGTTAAGCAGATCAAATACTTGCATATTCTTTAGGTAACATCAGCAGCAAGTAGACTATGATATCATTAAGAATAAGAGTACATAATATTGTTATTATGGAAAGTTAGTTTTTATGACTGTGTTCGTAATATGTCAGTGCATCATCAAATGTAGAAGGTTAACAATAACTTAGTATCCAACTATGTGAGTAAAATAAATGCAGAACAGACCAATGATTAATCTTATGTCATAAAGTCAATCTTGCACTAAAGTTACCGGTGGATTTACGTATACTCAGTTACTATTTGTGCGTTTTGCGAAAATCCCTTTTCTCAATGTGTGTTGAACTTATATATATTCATAATAATATTGCTCTGAGTTAACCTGTTAGACAACCATTTTCTGTAGTTGAGTAAGAATCAGTTTATGTCAAACACATACTGAGGTATACTTTGTTATAAGTCATTTGCTAAGGATTATATTTAAGTGAATGCTTACGTTTACATAACCAAAGATCGCACTGACTGTAGGATAGAACTCAGAAACCCAAAGATCTTATAGTCATCCTTAAATCTATTTCTTAAGATAACATATTTTCGAATTAATTCATTTGACAAGTTTCTCTAAGAGATCATGGCTATAGCCGGATGAGAGGTTTGAAACTACTAGTCACGAGTTTCAACAGCTTTCTTATTAATATCAATTAATGATTTTAAGCACTATTATGAACGACAATTTCATTACATTTTAACTCAGTTCTTTTTACTATAGTCTATAAAGTCTTATGCTTAACAGTCACGCTTTGTTTTGTTATCATAATTATTTGTTAGATTATCTATTCGACAGGCACCTGCTAAATTTACTTTATAGACATAAAACCTTAAGGTAAGTGCTGAATTGTAATTTTTAATGAATAAAATATTTAGTATATGTTGATAATTGTTGATAATTGATTGTGTTAATTTTTTTCCCAGTTTCATTTCATCTGTACCATTTTACAACTCTGTTCAATAAGACAGATACCTGGTAGATATAAACTATATCGTATACATGATATTAAATGATCAAACTATTTAAAAATTATATTTAGTTATACTGCCATAAATCTATTATTTTGTGTGCAATTTTATACTGGGTAGGTATAGAGAAATTAGTTTGGTCATAGAATCCTGTGAGAAATAAATAGAATAATTTATATCATTAGATTATTGTAAAACTATTGGTTCATCTGAGTAAATTTTCAATATGTTCCAAAATGAAATTATCTGAAATTCATATAATTACTATTTGTAAACTTATAAAATATGATTCCGATATGCAACATTGAATGTACTTTGTTCTCATGGTTAATCTTAAAATTCAATAGGTTTCGGTAAGTTACTATGATAAATTTAAGGTATAACTTCAATTCTATCGACAGTAATTATTAGTTTATGCCTGTGATCATATAAACACTATGTAGTTACTTGTAAATTTAAATCTCCAGAGGTTAAGGGTCAGTAACTGAATTCAGAAGCTATCCGTGGGAGATCTTTATTGCATTTATATTACAAGTAGTTAGTATGGTCATTTATTCAAAATAAGATTGTTTTAGCTAAGACTAAGTTGACTGCTACTTCGAAACGATATTAACTTGTTTAGTTGCTTAATGAACCAGGTGTTTTCGGACTGAGTTTACAGTTCAATGAAACAAAAATCTAACCTAAAATACTTGTATTAATACTGATATGTCAGTCAGTTAGCTACAGCGTGGAACTTCGTAAGTACGTACATCAATTCAAATTGCCATACCAGATTAGCACAGGGGGATCGAATTGTCGATTCGAATCCCATAGTAGTAGAGGTAGTCGAAGTATTAGTGGTAATGGAGAAGATTAGGGTTCGAAGATATTATTCAATAAGTACAATTCAGTGAAATAAATTTAAAAGGATAAAAAAGGTCACGAGAAATTTAGGAGATTAGAATTCGAGAGAAGACGAAAAATGGATTCATCTGCGCCATTGCAAATGATTTCGAGCGGTGTCATTTAAAGTCTCTAACCATCAGTTACTGTTGTCTCGCGGACCCCAACCAGTTAGACTTTGCGTACCAACGTGGCTCAGTCCAGCTGTAAGCGACTTCATGGCTTTGTGCAATGATTTGGTTTGGCTGATCCTAGAATTTTTCCAACCTACTCCTACATCAGACACTAACGCTCATCGGCACAGTCGGTGGTTAGACATGTCCCGACCGCCTCACTACTTCATCTGTTGATGTGCCATCCTTACCTAGTATCCTTTTCCTGATCCTAGGATATACGAGCAATGCCCCTAAGATACCGATGATCGAAAACCAGTGACCTACGAATATCTTCTACTCTCACTGGCCATGTTTCACAGCCATAAAGTAGGACGGAGCGAACTACTGCCTAGTACACTCGCCCTTTGGTTAGCAAACGTATATCTCGCCTTCGCCATAAGTGAAGCAGGTTTGCAAAAGCTAATCGAGCCTTCTGTATTCGTGCTGAGATCTCGTCAGTCACCAGGCCATCAGCACTGATGAGACTTCCGAGATAAGTGAAGCGGTCTACACGTTCGACTACTTCACTCCCTATCACTAGTTCAAGTGCCGATGCAACCCAATCTTGAAGCAACATTTTGTATTTCGAGGGTGAGAACCGCATCCCGAACATGCTTGCATTGTTGCTTAGGGTAGTCAGAAGACTGCATTTTTTCAGCGTCTTCACCAAATAGAACTATGTTATCAGCATATTCTAAGTCAGCAAGCGTGGCTCCTGTTAAAAGGTCCACTCCTGAAGAGTCAGACGATGATAATGTTAACTCTAAAAGCATATCTACGACAAAGTTAAATAAGAATGCGGGGAGTGGGCAGCCCTGACGGACACCACTTGAAGTAGATAATTCCGATGACAGTTCGCCATAAGCTCTTACTTGACCTGTAGTGTTCGAGTAGAGAGCTTCTATAAGTTTAATGTACTTCTTTGGTACACCTTTTAGTGACAGACATTGCCAGAACTTCTAACCGATTACAACTCGAACTGATCCTGATATTCATCAACCATTTACTGTTTTTGTATGGAAATTATGCGTTACCACTTGCAATGATATCAGCGAAACTTAGATTCATTGTTCATTTTACGAACTAATCTTGTCAGTTAAACGTAAAATATTATTATTTGTTCACATAAATTATTGTTTCCTTATAACAATAATATGTCAACTAATTTCAATAAATACTAGAGACCATCGCATGACACAAGTAATCCACTAATAAATTTGTGCATACAGATAAATTTTGTTGGTAATCGATGTTTCAGCCTTGGTTACTTGAATGCAGACTCAACATTGTTGGTTTTACTGAACATTCTGTTCTCCCCCCCCAAAAAAAACAATAATGTAGTTGTGACCGACATTTATAACGATATTGTTTATTTTCAGTCAATTTCATCTCAAATTAAAGGAAGGAAATAAGTTGATACATAGTTACTGATTCTTCTTTTGCATAGCTTTAAAATACTAGAAAATTTATGTAGTAAATGTAGTATTCCGTGTCTAATGGTACAGATATTTATGTTGATTTTTTCCCAATACAAACTGACTTATTTGGGTGTGTCGCACTGTTGACACCACCTTCTACTACACCAAGATGTGTACAAATTAAGATTCTAGTTATACAAACAGTCTTTGTAAATAATACACTGATAAAAATCCCAATGAATAGATAATTGAATTTTTAACGTTCCATAGTTAGATTGAGTCACACTTTTAGCAAACAAATAAATCACTGACTTAATACAAGTTTAAACAGTATGTAGGAACAAAAAAGAACAATTAGTACAACAAAAATAGATTCGATCATGTTAATGTTGTCATTTCGGTCAACGTGATTCTGACTAACACATTATTGCGTGCGTTTATGTGAATGATAGTGGGTGTGAAAAATATTATTTTGATAATGTAGGAAAGCGAAATTAAATATTAATGTGCTTGTGGGCAGAATCGGATATAGCTATTTGAGTAAATGGTTCAAGTTGTATGTATAGTTATACCTTCTTTTCTATAGAGCGTCATAGGGTTAAGCATAATCTGAGAAGTTTCAGTTATTACCCGCTCTTTATAGCTAGGAAAAGATTTTGATGTTTTTAGTATCTTCAACAGAACAATGAGAAAACGTAGTTGATCTGAAAAAAGTACTCTGATAATCTTCAATCCACTTTTTGACCTAGGATGTGACAATTGCCTATTCTTTCTAAACTATGTTAATTTTCCCTCTCCTTTATTTACAATTATCACCCCATGTTCATTTGAACTGTTATTTAATTGACCTTTTATTGATTTTAAATAAAAAGCCTTGACAAGTATATGTGTAATCAGATTGTTAGAAATGTATAGCGCAAATACATCATATTTTTCGGAGTAATATTTGCCAATGACGTCATGAAAAGAAAAACAAACATTTACTGTTGGATATTATGATTAACTACGTCTTCTTGTTGTTCTGCCGAAATGTATAGAAGTGACTAATTGTCATAAATTTTTAGTATCGATTTGATGGTTGTTGAAAATAACATGTACTAATCTGACTTACAGGTTCCCTCATTCAACAGAATTATTAGGTCTCTGTGTAGCCTAGGCATAAGCTGATATTTCACGAGAAGACTCACCTATATTGAAATCGTTACGGTTGACATAACCTACTATGTAGACATAATTTTGTGTAAATTTAAAAGAAATATATTCCTTTATTTAATCTAAAACATTTTGAAGTTCTATTTGCTTGATAGAATAGTTTGATTCTGTGTGGTTTCTGAATAGGTCAGTTTTTCTGTTGTACCACGACGGTAAGCCTAAGCCACGATATCGATCCGTGATATTTCATCTGAATAGTTAGTTTTCTAACAACAGATGGTTGTGTTTTATAAATGCACATAATAATGTCACACAGAATCATTTTGACTGAAATGACATGACATTAACATGATCAAATCTACTCTCATTTTACTATATATTATATGTTGTTCCTCTTTACTGTTTAAGATTGTGTTAAGTTAGTAAATTATTTAATCACTGAAAATGTGACTTTTGCTAAGCTGCAAAACGTTAGAACTTCAATTTCCTACTTATTAGGATTTTTACAAATATATTATTTTATTAGTGTAAAGAATACACTAACTCAATGCTCAATTTATTTGAAATTATTGAGTCAATCTTTGGTAATATTATACTTACAAAGTCCATTATAAATGTTTCTATTATATTGGATTCCTTCCAATACTCTAATAAGAATACATTTATAACTGCATTTCATTTAGTAGAGGAACTGTTTATTAATTTGTGAAGGATGATTTAGAACTATTGTTATCATCTATGATGATGACAATTTAGATGACAAAACATTCGATTGCTATTATGAAAATTAACTGCTTAATTCCTGTTCAACAGTCCTAATCATGAGGCTTTAATTAGTTGCGAGATGGTAAACACAACTCAACCATATAAAGTTTACCTCATCAAAACAAAAATTATATCATTCAAATAATCTTACTCGTCGGAATAAATCTTCAATACATTCACATGAACTGGCGTTTGTTATCTAAAAAGAAAATAAACATTTAAGAACATTGTCTTTATTTGTTAAACAATTACTTTGAATTTTTGAAGAATCATTAAAAATGAAATATCAACTTAATGTGATGAGTTACGCAATATTGAACACTGACTTACTTTATCGATTTTATCTATGAAAAAAAGTCAAAAGCAACTTTTAGTACATTAAAAGATTGTATAATTCTCTATTGAGCGATTGAAAATTCATTACAAAAGAATAAAATATAAATTTCTAACAAGAAATCAATCATACCATAAGCTAACTAAACAAGGTAGCAGTTAGAATTTTTTTAAATACATATTTATACATTCTGCTGTATATTATTCGAGTTATATATCTCACGAAAATTTTTCACAGAATTACACAAGGTAATGTATAGGTAGTAAATTGCCGTATCTAAGTCATAGAATTTCTATACGCTTTAGTGTAACTAAACATCAGCAACGCTTATTCATGATTGTATACATATTATCGAAGACTACAATCCAATATAAATAAGAAATCTCAACCCATACATAACTAAGTCTATTTGTGGCAAGTATGTAATTAAATAATTTGTTATTGATGGACGTTAAGATTTATCAGCAACCAATGAGTTCAGTAATACCTTACGATTACGGTAATATAAAATACTATCAACTAATTACTTTTAAATATATATATATATATATATATATATATATATATATATGTATACGCGTAGGAACAGATTTATCATAGAGATTTTATGGCTTTGAGGAGATTTTCTTAGCTTGAATATTTCAGTCTTTTGAATTATTTTTGAATTGATTTTTATTTTGAACAAACAAACCCAATGTGTCATGCAGACTTCCGTCAAGTTGTGCTTATTCGTTTAGTAACTAAATTATTTTGGGAAAGATTTTCATTTAAATAATTTCATGTAAACTTAATGTTTTTAGTACAGGAGATTTGTGGAGATCGTAATATTTCCTTCGTTGAAATCACAGGCTGTTCTTGGCTAGACCATCGTTGAGAACCTGGCATTACAGTACGGCTGGCTCTTCCTAGTATGGGACTTGTCACAAGTGCGCAACCATGACGCCAGACCCAGGAAATGGACCTAGGAACTTCGCTCTTGCGCCAGAACACTTAACCACCGTTTTTCTATGCATTCAGCATGACATTACTGTTTAAGCTTGTAACTGTTAAAGTATATAATACTTGGCATTTACATTGGATGACATTTTAAAGTCAGTTCGAATGAATCAGTTGATAGTGACAAATTATACACTAAAACAAAGCTATTCTTGAAAGCACCTGAAAACATTTGTTGTTATCAACTGAACGACGGTACTAAAATAAGGTTTTTTGTTTGACTAAAAAGCACATAATAGTATACGTTCTTCACTAGATTGTCAGTCATTTAAAAGCTAAAACAATAATCGTATTTAATTGATAACCTTCCGACCAAAAATAAATTTTATCTACTAGAGTTTTTAATTTGAGTGAAGTTCATATAAATTTGTGAATGTAACTATTTCACATAGATCTTACTTTAACTTAACAATTGACTTGTGTATGATATAGTCAACAAGCGGTAACTAAGTACTATTTTATAGTTCTTAATACTGAGCTGAAAGTTATATATATAGATATAGTAGATGGTATTTCAAAAGAAATCCTAAATTCCATTTCACTGATCATGATAACCAGTTTGGTCAATTTAATGTTGAGTAGACTTTTAAATAATTAAAACATAATAAATGCAAAACTTACCAGAAGAAATTAGATCCATTTCTTCAGGATGCTGTATGAATAAGAAGAAAAAACGTTACTCTTGAGTTGAATAATTTAGTAGATTTTCTTTCAGTTTATCCGATTGCAGGTGCAACATAACCTCAGAAAAAAGTACCCAAATTTTATAATGGTGATACAAATTTCAAAAGTGCAAATGAAACAGTGATAAAAATTTGCAAATATCATTTATTAGCAAGCATCGTGCAAAAGTGTCAGCATACCAGGTAATTTGAAAATTTGCCAAAATTCAAATGTACAATTTTACATTAAAATTATTAAGTCACATATATATATGTATATATATATATATATATATATATATATATATATATATCGACAGAATTACTGCACTGAGACAATTCCAATTAACTAATGAAAATACTCTAATTTACAATGACAATAAAAGTTAAGTTAATGAGGTGAGTTGAAGGCCTAGCATTTAAAGCTATTCAATGAAAAAATTTAAAAGTTTTCAAGTGGATCAAGTGAGTAAATAATTTAGGAAGTTAATTTTTATGGCATTGCGATGTAGTTAATAAACTGTAGATGGATGTTAATAGATTAAAATAAGTAAGCAAACCGCAATGAAGAACAATTAAAAAAAAGCAGATGAAATATTCAATTCAGAAAAATGGTCATTAGCATATATATGTATATATCTAAGCATCTCTATGATAAGCATTTTGGAAATGAATGGTATAAGCCATAGCCAAGTGCGTACAATATAGTTTACAGGCATCATAAAGCAGTGGTTTTAAACAACTAACCATTTCAGTGGTCGAATTAAGTGAGATAATTTGATATAGAGAAGCATTTTTGCGTTCACGAAGTGTTGAAGCATACGCAGGTTCCGAAGGATTATCAATCGAAAAAGAAGTGTGATTATAAGCGATTGGGTTAAATATTGATCCATTCGCTAAATGAATAAGACCGTTTTCGTCAACGAATGAATCCAAAACAGCGGCACCTAGAATAGCATCATAAACCACTTCTTGCATTGAGGACAAATTGCGGAAAACAAAATAGCGTTGACCATCCGGCACAAAAGAAAGAACAGGAAAAACCAGCCCGTCCGTGAACTCAATCCAACCATCCGATCGAAGAACAGCACCTGGAACGGCATGTCCCAATAATGTGTCGTATATACGTGGAGGGTTATCATCGTCACCATTATAAACAACAAAACGACCACCGGTTAGATTACCAACAGCAATAACCGCACCATCATTTAAACGAAAAAGTGAACCACCGAGAAAAGAACCTTTCAAAAATTCACCAGTGGAAGAATCGAGAGCCAAAGAGTTATTATCAGCATCAGGAGGAAGTATGATGTACCGAGGATATAAAACATCAGGTTGTAGAAATAAATCCCCATCTGGAAGATGTATCATGTTGACTTCATCAACATAAGCACCTGTTATGAGATCACCAGTATGCCTGTCAAAAACCAGATTCTCCTTCGTTTCAGGATCGAAGTGAATTAGATACTGTGAGCTGTTGTCACTGGAGCCTGGTGCAACGCGCTTACCGTCTGGGAAGCGGATCAATCCATCTTCACTGTACACAGCTTCTTTGATATGACTACCTGTTCGTCTATCGAAAATTAATTTTTCACCGTTGTTTGGATCCGTTATTATGACATATCTGTCTAGTTTAGATGACGGCTCGATGACCATGAGTCCATCTTCGAACTGAATCAAACCATTGTCACTGACCTGTGCACCCTTGATCTGTTCTCCTGTGAAGCGATCGTACACTAGGAGGGTTTGATCATCTTCATCTGTGACTATCATGTATTTAGCGCCGTCGCGAGATGAGGGAGCTACGAGCTGTCCAGTAGCTAATTTGATCATTCCATTATGCTGGAGCGTGGCATTCACTAGTTCCGTACCGTTTCGACGATCAAATATCACAGGATCTCCTGTCAGTTTGTCTTGCGCTACTAGATAGCGATCCATGGTCTCTGAGGCCGAGATGGCCAAGCTTCCGTCTGGCAAATGTATGACACCATCCTTGTCTATGTAAGCATCTGTGATTTGCTCACCTGTCTTGCGATCGAATACCATTGGATTCTCTTCGTCCTCAGTCGGTTCGACCACCATGTAGTTTGCGCTCGTGTTTGAGCCGGGTGCAACCAGACTTCCATCGGGTAACTTGACGAGACCATTGTCTAAAACGACTGCTCCATCGATTTTCTGAGCTGACTTGGTGTCGACTACTAATGTGGTGTTTTCGGTTGCATCTTGAAGGACAATGTACCTATGCCTCACTTGGTTCTGATCTAGATGCAATTTACCGTCGGGGAGAAGTATCAAACCTCTTGAGTCTACTGAGGCGCCCTCGATTTGTTCACCAGTATGCCTGTCAAAAACCAGATTCTCCTTCGTTTCAGGATCGAAGTGAATTAGATACTGTGAGCTGTTGTCATTGGAGCCTGGTGCAACGCGCTTACCGTCTGGGAAGCGGATCAATCCATCTTCACTGTACACAGCTTCTTTGATATGACTACCTGTTCGTCTATCGAAAATTAATTTTTCACCGTTGTTTGGATCCGTTAGTATGACATATCTATCTAGTTTAGATGACGGTTCAATGACCATGAGTCCATCTTCGAACTGAATCAAACCATTGTCACTGACCTGTACACCCTTGATCTGTTCTCCTGTGAAGCGATCGTACACTAGGAGGGTCTGATCATCTTCATCTGTGACTATCATGTATTTAGCGCCGTCGCGAGACGAGGGAGCTACGAGCTGTCCAGTAGCTAATTTGATCATTCCATTATGCTGGAGCGTGGCATTCACTAGTTCCGTACCGTTTCGACGATCAAATATCACAGGATCTCCTGTCAGTTTGTCTTGCGCTACTAGATAGCGATCCATGGTCTCTGAGGCCGAGATGGCCAAGCTTCCGTCTGGCAAATGTATGACACCATCCTTGTCTATGTAAGCATCTGTGATTTGCTCACCTGTCTTGCGATCGAATACCATTGGATTCTCTTCGTCCTCAGTCGGTTCGACCACCATGTAGTTTGCGCTCGTGTTTGAGCCGGGTGCAACCAGACTTCCATCGGGTAACTTGACGAGACCATTGTCTAAAACGACTGCTCCATCGATTTTCTGAGCTGACTTGGTGTCGACTACTAATGTGGTGTTTTCGGTTGCATCTTGAAGGACAATGTACCTATGCCTCACTTGGTTCTGATCTAGATGCAATTTACCGTCGGGGAGAAGTATCAAACCTCTTGAGTCTACTGAGGCGCCCTCGATTTGTTCACCAGTATGCCTGTCAAAAACCAGATTCTCCTTCGTTTCAGGATCGAAGTGAATTAGATACTGTGAGCTGTTGTCATTGGAGCCTGGTGCAACGCGCTTACCGTCTGGGAAGCGGATCAATCCATCTTCACTGTACACAGCTTCTTTGATATGACTACCTGTTCGTCTATCGAAAATTAATTTTTCACCGTTGTTTGGATCCGTTATTATGACATATCTGTCTAGTTTAGATGACGGTTCAATGACCATGAGTCCATCTTCGAACTGAATCAAACCATTGTCACTGACCTGTGCACCCTTGATCTGTTCTCCTGTGAAGCGACCGTACACTAGGAGGGTCTGATCATCTTCATCTGTGACTATCATGTATTTAGCGCCGTCGCGAGACGAGGGAGCTACGAGCTGTCCAGTAGCTAATTTGATCATTCCATTATGCTGGAGCGTGGCATTCACTAGTTCCGTACCGTTTCGACGATCAAATATCACAGGATCTCCTGTCAGTTTGTCTTGCGCTACTAGATAGCGATCCATGGTCTCTGAGGCCGAGATGGCCAAGCTTCCGTCTGGCAAATGTATGACACCATCCTTGTCTATGTAAGCATCTGTGATTTGCTCACCTGTCTTGCGATCGAATACCATTGGATTCTCTTCGTCCTCAGTCGGTTCGACCACCATGTAGTTTGCGCTCGTGTTTGAGCCGGGTGCAACCAGACTTCCATCGGGTAACTTGACGAGACCATTGTCTAAAACGACTGCTCCATCGATTTTCTGAGCTGACTTGGTGTCGACTACTAATGTGGTGTTTTCGGTTGCATCTTGAAGGACAATGTACCTATGCCTCACTTGGTTCTGATCTAGATGCAATTTACCGTCGGGGAGAAGTATCAAACCTCTTGAGTCTACTGAGGCGCCCTCGATTTGTTCACCAGTATGCCTGTCAAAAACCAGATTCTCCTTCGTTTCAGGATCGAAGTGAATTAGATACTGTGAGCTGTTGTCATTGGAGCCTGGTGCAACGCGCTTACCGTCTGGGAAGCGGATCAATCCATCTTCACTGTACACAGCTTCTTTGATATGACTACCTGTTCGTCTATCGAAAATTAATTTTTCACCGTTGTTTGGATCCGTTAGTATGACATATCTATCTAGTTTAGATGACGGTTCAATGACCATGAGTCCATCTTCGAACTGAATCAAACCATTGTCACTGACCTGTGCACCCTTGATCTGTTCTCCTGTGAAGCGATCGTACACTAGGAGGGTTTGATCATCTTCATCTGTGACTATCATGTATTTAGCACCGTCGCGAGATGAGGGAGCTACGAGCTGTCCAGTAGCTAATTTGATCATTCCATTATGCTGGAGCGTGGCATTCACTAGTTCCGTACCGTTTCGACGATCAAATATCACAGGATCTCCTGTCAGTTTGTCTTGCGCTACTAGATAGCGATCCATGGTCTCTGAGGCCGAGATGGCCAAGCTTCCGTCTGGCAAATGTATGACACCATCCTTGTCTATGTAAGCATCTGTGATTTGCTCACCTGTCTTGCGATCGAATACCATTGGATTCTCTTCGTCCTCAGTCGGTTCGACCACCATGTAGTTTGCGCTCGTGTTTGAGCCGGGTGCAACCAGACTTCCATCGGGTAACTTGACGAGACCATTGTCTAAAACGACTGCTCCATCGATTTTCTGAGCTGACTTGGTGTCGACTACTAATGTGGTGTTTTCGGTTGCATCTTGAAGGACAATGTACCTATGCCTCACTTGGTTCTGATCTAGATGCAATTTACCGTCGGGGAGAAGTATCAAACCTCTTGAGTCTACTGAGGCGCCCTCGATTTGTTCACCAGTATGCCTGTCAAAAACCAGATTCTCCTTCGTTTCAGGATCGAAGTGAATTAGATACTGTGAGCTGTTGTCACTGGAGCCTGGTGCAACGCGCTTACCGTCTGGGAAGCGGATCAATCCATCTTCACTGTACACAGCTTCTTTGATATGACTACCTGTTCGTCTATCGAAAATTAATTTTTCACCGTTGTTTGGATCCGTTATTATGACATATCTGTCTAGTTTAGATGACGGCTCGATGACCATGAGTCCATCTTCGAACTGAATCAAACCATTGTCACTGACCTGTGCACCCTTGATCTGTTCTCCTGTGAAGCGATCGTACACTAGGAGGGTTTGATCATCTTCATCTGTGACTATCATGTATTTAGCACCGTCGCGAGATGAGGGAGCTACGAGCTGTCCAGTAGCTAATTTGATCATTCCATTATGCTGGAGCGTGGCATTCACTAGTTCCGTACCGTTTCGACGATCAAATATCATAATTCTTGTTGTTTTTGTATCATTTTTTATCACATATCTGTCTTTGTCTAATGAAATTTGTATTGTGTATGTGTCCTTTGGGAAATGGATTATCTCTTGGTCGTCTACTTCTGCACCTTCAATCATTTCTCCACTGTGCGTGTCAAATACCTTTTTCTCACTTTTTTCACCAATGTTTTCTGCTATGATATATCGTTGATTTTCAATTTTGGGTTTTGTTGCTACAATATCTCCATTAGGTAGAATAACCAATTCATCTGTCAGTTTTATTGCTCCGTTTATAATAGTGTTTTCTTTCATATCTTTTAAGTCAATTAAAGCTTCTGTTCCTGGCTCTTTCATTATATACCTATGTTTATATACTGTTTCTGCATTTGTTTTAGTTTTCTCGGTTGTAGCAATTACGCTGTAGTCTGTTTGGGTTGTGGTTTCTTCTTTTTTCTCCTGTTTTTCAGTTTCGTAGTTTTCTTTTTCAGTTGTAATCTCCTTCTAAAATAAGAAGTATTTATCGTGAATGATATAAGCTGTTTTCCCTTTTATCTTTTTTTCTCACCTTTAATACTTCTTGTCTGTTATTGGTTGTTTTTCGTTTAATGGCGGTGCATAATTTTAAAATAATACGTAGCATCTATTTTTATTTCATGGTCTACTGTTATCATTATCTAATCAATTTTAATAAAAAATGATACAGTTTTCTTTATTTTATTATAATTACAACCCTAGAACTCAATTATTGTTTGTTTCAAAAAAATATCTTCGAATTTATGAACTTAAAACCACCCTGTTGAATATGTTTTGCAAATATTTAACTTATTCTAGTTAAAATTGTTTTGAGCTGATCAGTTATTTATTTTTTAAGCTTAGTTGTCAAACTTAACTGAAGTGATGAGAATTGTTCTACGGAATTTTCAATAGTTACTTGTATATAGTCTGTGTTAAGATCTGAAAAACTCTCATTGTTATAATTGCTATTTTAACATGATTTTATTTGAAGTTTCGAAATTTGATGAGCTGAAACAGGGGAGAATGTCATCAGTGATCGATTTTTATGAAGCTACGGTAGAAATTTCATTTTACTTTCTAATAGCAGAGAACAATGTAATGAAGAACTCTCGTCACGTTTTTTTGCGTGTAGTCAGCTTAGCTTAGCAAGATATTAGTTTTCATTCTTAGATTAAGCTTCTGATCACAGCAACAATAGATTGAAACACTGGAGAGGTAAACCTTTAGCTACTGAGTCAAGTTGGTCACAAAATCTTACTTTGGTCTGATGTATATTACTGTTGGAGAAGGGTTATATTTTCTGCTTGTCAATATTCAAGGATACAGTTGATCAGTCTCTATTAGGTAAATCCTTTATGTGTGCAGCAGTAATCGCAAAACTCACTAATTTTTTTAATCAGATAACAAAATATAAATACATTAGGTTTTCACAAACTGAGTTACAATATATAATATCATTAGATAAAATTTGCAATGAGTTTGTAGTTTATTTTACCGTATTAATATCAGAGGGTAAAATATTTTCTTACACATTTCACCAAATGTTTACCTGCTAACTAGTTTTTATCTTGTTGAATTAATAGAAATTTCTATTGAAAACAGAAATGGATATTGTGTAATATATCTAACGTCTAGGACCAAATTGTTTGTGTGAATTGAATTAATTTGCATGAACCTTGTAATCTACATAGAACTCATGATGGAACATTTTGAGAAGAGAGTTTGTTTACAAAATATATACACAGTTTTCAATCATCTTCCTGCAATCCAAGCAGGTTATGAATCGTCTTCTTTCACATCTCTTCTAGTATTCAAAATACTCTGATCACACGATGCATTTCGATCTCTTGACATTCATCCTTCTGGTAACAACTTCTAGGTGAGGCTATTTATATTCCACATTGTAAGTAGCATCCCCTTTATTTTGCTCTCCTTTATTTTATCGACACTAAAATACACTAATTAGTCATTGCGACTCATCAACGAAGTGCAGGTTAATGTACGGGGTTTTCAGTCTTACTTTTTATGATGTTTAGTTAGCACTGCTGGACTACCTAAATCTTGAGGTCACTGCACTAGAACATGCTTCGTCTTTTGATTCATTTCTATACAGTAAAAGAGAGTCTACATTGTACCTTTAAGAGGAATGAATAATTAATTTTATTTATGTGCTTTATTAGATTTCAGATTAATTCAAAATTTGTACTGCTATCGCTATATATTGTTTTAGATTTTCACTGGTATCAACATTGAACCAGTTACTTTTATTACAAAATATTGATTAACATTTAAGAAACTTGACATCCTACTTAATTGGAATTAATGTTGTGCATGTGAAATAGAATGGAAAGTTATTTACGCTGATGACGAGCAGGTAAGACTCCACAATTTCGGTTTGTGATTCGTTTGATTTCAAATAGATTTATTAGCTTTTATTATTTACTTTTTTTTTCAGAAATAAATAATCTGTTAAATTTAATGATAGTTTCACTCGTTTGAACTATCGAGCTGTTAAAGACTCCGTTTTCCTCCTTCACAATATTGTCATCATCAACTCGTTTGTTTTAAAGTTTATGATGTTGATATTGTGTAGTAAGACAATTAAAAGCCGTACAATCAATTTATTCAACACAAACAGCACAACTGTTAGAAAATCATCCTTATTAGCTATAAAGCTTCTTTAAAATCGTCTTTAAAACGATTGGATTTTATTTTACTATGAACATTATTTGTATGATTCAGATAAATTTTTGACAACTTACCTCTTCATCGTCTTGTATTGAACTTGTCTAGATCAAATAAACAAATAGAAACAAAATGGTCATGTTTTAAATGCCCAAAAAGAAGTTTAATATGCATATTTTGATGATGTTGATTTTTTGATGTGTATAATATAATTAGAATATAACATCTCATAAATTTATACGCTTATTAAATACTTGCGAGATATTCGCTCTGTCTGTTCAGTATACTAAACTGTCGTTACTTATGAACAATTAGTTAACTAAATGTTTATATCAATAATAGTTTTCGGAATCTATAAGGTTCTGTACAAGATAAATGTTTAAAATAAACTAGTAATGAATTGATGATTTCTGGCTAAAGTAAATATGGTTTCGATCATAAGATAACATACAACCAAACATAATAAAGACCAAAATGTAATCAATAAGTATGAAGTGGTTGGGTGTGTTGATCTCTTCGCTTCTTGAAATTTTCATCATCTTTGGTAGGTTATTAGCAGACGGCTTCTCATTATCGATAAAAAAATATGTTCATCAGTTGGTAGCTTCTTATTTGACATTATTTTATTTTCACTCCGACTTTTATCTTAATAAGTTTCTTTCACTGTTCTAATGTATAATGTAGAAGCTTAGTAAGACACAGTTGCATAAGGACCTACGTTGGATACAAGCAGTTAAATGACAAAGCGTTAGACAGGCATTTCTAACCAATTGATTTTCGTTTTAGTCTGCTGAACAAGGACAATTATTCTTTAGTTTATTAATTTTTGGTACCTATTAATAATGTATGAAGAGGAAGTTATATGAATGTAGTGAGGCAGACCATTGCTTTCTCAGTAAAATTAAAAACATCCGGTTTATCGCAAGTTGAGTGTGGCAAAATATATGAACTACTTGAGTCAAAAAGTTTCATTGAAGAATATGATTATAATGAATCTTAAAATAAAGTAAATCATGAATATATTCAATTCTGAGGCATAAAAAAGGCAAAAATCTCCATACTTTATAACATTTAAATGTTGTCTGAATATTTTTGTAATCAGAAAAGTATTCATATTTGTTGGCTGATACAAGTAACGGTTGTAGAAGTATGGTATTCGGAAACTTTAATGACATATATTTATCAGGCAACATTAACTAAAGATTTGATTTAATGAACTAGTTTAATCGCATACATATTTATAGTTAGCCATATGAGAAACATTTCATTAACCTATATAACTTCGTTATGAAAGCGCTGAGTAGCCGTTATATTTCGATTTATTGTCAATTTCTTATGTATGTCATATGTGAAATACGGCCAGGTTTTTTTTTATCATTTTCAATAAGTGAAACTGATTTTTCAGTTGAATAAATGATATTTTTTAAAGTATAAATTTAGTATACATAATGGGATCATAGAAATCAAAGTTAGTCTGTATATGTGTTATCCTTACACTGATAACTCACGGAAGAATTCAAGATATTAATTAAATCAACTGTCCGTTTACCTTTTGATATCCATAAAATAGTTTTTACTATTTACTTTTTATGATTAGTAATTTGCATTGTCACTGACTACTTTGTTTTTCTTTTGATTGGTTTTGTTTTTATGTTGTTTAAACCATTCTTATTAGTTATTTAGGACTGATTGTTGTATTGAACTGCCATTATTGAATTAATGAGAATTAATTCCTATTAAACACATTATACTACTGAAAAGTCGTTCAGAGAAAAATGATAATATCCAGAAGTAAACGTTTATGTTTTTCTTTCCATGAATTCATTGGCAAATATTGCTCAGATTAAAATGTATTTCGCTTACGCATGGTTCAAATAACAGGGATTAGGGAAATAATAGTTAATTGCATAACTATCTAGTGATTAAGTGATGATTTGTACGAATCAAAATTTTGTCAATCACTTTACACTACTGATTAGAAATATATATTTCCGGTCACGTACAACAATCGTTTTCCCTTAGTTCACATATGTATATATATATATATATATATATATATATATATATAGTACGCTACAATTAATGGACAGGTAATTATGTGTAACAAATCTATCAAAAATCATGTTAGCTTCACGTTTCCACGAATTGTATTCATATAAAAAGTGTAATAACTGACAGATAAATTTGACAGTTGTTGATTGATATTTAGAGTTGCATTTGTAGCGCCCATAAGGCCAGCGTTGTTGATGTATGATTTAGTAAACATCTGTATATCACTCTGGCAAAGAAAGGCTTTCAATGAGTGCAAGATGGTAATTATTTTCATTGAAAACCTGAAAGCACTGAATGGTTCGATTCCCGCTCTCTGGCTCGTAGACACGATCTGCTGATGAGTCGCATTCAATGTTTTCAGGTTTCTCCTGGTGATCTAACATTGATGAATTTGTGATTTCAAGGAACATCAACCATATTCATAACTCAGTAGTGATATTCCTTATATATTTACGTAGTTTATGGTGATTTATTGAGTACGAAGGTCATATTTTTATGAACTGAAATTAGCTGGAAATTCATATTTTTTAAAACATTAGAAGCGTTACACCCACTGATGTCACGAAAATAAATGTATGTATGTACAGTAGATACTTTGTATTAATTTACATTAAAACTCTCCTTGAGAACTTACAATTAATATATTTCCAAATTCCGGATCATATTTAAGACGGTCTGCATCACCACTTCCTTCATAAGTCTGAAATAGATGATAAAGTGATGATTGAAATTAGATAAATAATTGGGATGAAAGGAATTCAATGCAAACATTTGATTAAATGTTTATGTAATTGTATTAAATAATGTTAATAGTATGTTAGATTTCTTTCAATAAAGGTCTGTTGGAGATGTTAGATACCCAGAACTCGCTTGATAAATATCTTTATTTTGGATTTATTTCATGGACCGATCAGTTGACCTTAAGATCACATTTCCCAACAGGAAAATCCTAGGCTGTGATTGGTTACTGTGTTAGTTTAGTGTGCTATTTTTGTGACTGTCCCAAGGACGTCTCTACGGAGTTTAAATAAACGCAATTTGAGTGCTTGGATTCATTGTGTGCTCGCTGGGTGTTTGTAGAATACAATTTCTACACTACATCAAGACTTCCTGCTGGTACCTCTTGGTCAGGGGATCACAGTAGCCTACCTGGACGCTAGTACATTGTTTTGTTCTGGTTATTCGAATAAGGTGAACCCGTAATAGTTTAAGCATACCTAGATTCGAGCATAACAAGGTCAAATTTGGAGAGAATTGTAATTGAGCATAAAATTCATTCGATATTTCAAAGTAGTTAGACTCTACTTAATGAGTTGTATATTTTGAACTGTATGAAACCAAAGTTCTGTATGATGAGTCTATTTTTGTTCCCACATTTATATAACAATCAAGCGCGCTGAAAGTTATGTAATATATATTCATCTAATCTAATATAAATTTCGATCATTTTCTGGACCTGGTAAATACAAAGCCTTATCAATAACCTCATACCCATTAAACTAGTTAACAGCTACCTGAAATCAGTAGAATAAGTGTTAACAGTTGAAGCAGTTGATACTAGATTGAGATATTAGTGTCAACATCAAAACTAAGATACTAGCACATTCGGGTGACAGATGTCAAAGAGGATAAGATGCAAGACAAAAATCCTACTGCAACCCGCAATCTAACTTTACTGTAATATTAATCACATAAATAGTACATTAGTTTTTGTCTATTATAAGTTGTAAGTATTTGTTTCTGTGTAAGAACACAATGTTATAATCATTGACATCCTTATGACTGAAAATTTAAAAGTGTACTTATACTATGTCTGTAGTAATGTTATAATAATAAACACTTATTTTAGTTTGTTGCTTAATTCATTCATCTTGTTCAAGAAGTGTTTTTGATATGAAATAAATTACAACTCAAGTTATTGTTCTTATAGAGTGAATTTAAAAAAATTAATAAGTGAGTTTTATGGTAAAGTAAGAAATTTTAACAGCGATACCTATTGACGCTAGTCAGACTACATACTGTGTTGCCTAAGGAAAAAATCTGTCATTCTAATACTGTCTCCTACTTGCATATTTTGTTCATCTTTGGAAATTAAAGTCTACCAGTACAATTTTAGTTTATTTCATTCTTAAAAAGGAGTTGTAATTACGCAGGTTTAATGATATTTTTCTATAATATGAACAAAATAGTCAATTTATGCATCCATCTCATATTTAACTCATACTCAACATTAGGATAATTTCTGTAGTTATATCACTGATAGGCAATTCATTCGATTTTGTTTATATCGAAGCCAAATAATTACAAAATAAATTGTATTTAATCGATATAGAACATATACTATAAGGTTAACATAGACTATTTTCTAAAAGTAAAATATAATCGTAAAATTATTTATCTTACTAAAATTGGTAAATATTTATGAGAAGAAAAAAATCTTACTTCCGATTTGGTACACATATATTGAACAGCATTTTCATCTGAATGAAAACTGAAAGCTTTTAAATATCCCTGCAAGAGTAAATAAAACACAACGATTAATTAATTAGGTAATTAGAGAGTATAAAAACAAAAAATAATTAAGGTATATGCTTTGAATAAATTGCAATCTCATTCGTACAAATGACATTTTTTAATAGTAACTATTGCAACCAGGCTGTGTAATTAGTTAAAAATCAGGTGGCTTAGAACTAATTATTGATTTGCTAGTTTAGATGGTCAATATTATGGGAATTCGGTTTTATTTTAATTCTAAATAATTGTATGAATAAGTGTAATTAGTTGTATATTTACCATAGATGAATTCAATGATCAAATTTCATTTTGGAGATACTAGAGTGACTTGATTTTTTCCATAATACACCTTGTCAAATGTAAAAATGTTGAAAATAAACAATTGTACATTTTAAACATTATTATTATTATTATTATTACTACCCTAATCATAGTGAATTAAATAATTGTTTACTGTATTGTAATTAACAAGTTTAACAGATAAACATCTAGTTATTGAATCAGTCCGATTACAGAACACGTTTGATTTGTATTTAAATGTATCATTTTTTGCTGACAAGTAGATAACACAGTGATTGTGTAAGTTTTCTAACTTTGATTTTGTAACTTATTTTCGGTGAATTTTAAGGTGAAACTGTAGTTTGCATGAACAACATCTTTGTTTGCTTACTTAATTTGCATCTTAGAGTGCTTGAGATATTTTGGTTTAAATTTGATTTAAAGTGGTGTTTACTGCTTTTGACATATATACTTAAAGTTTCGAGTTTCGATACGGGAGAAATAAATATGAAACTTGATTAATGTAAAGATTTAATTTTCTCTATCAGTTAAACGATAATTCAAATTGAAATTATTCATTTTAGTAATACAACACAATCAGTTACTTATGAAATTTATACATTTGTTTATCTATAAATAAACTATAATTACAAAGATTACATTTTATTTGAATACATTATTGTCAATAAGTAAAATTACTGCATAGTACATGAAATTTCAATTAAACACAAATAAATATGAATAAAACCACATAAATAACAATAACGAATTGAAGAATTTACCTCAAAGTATTCGGATGCATTCCTTAAACCACTGTTAAGTGCATAAAATGTTGCACCTTTGCGAAACAATGGTTCACCTAGTAAACCTTGAATTGGATAGAAATGATAAGCGATTCTTTGAGTTTCTTCACATGATGTATAGAAGTCAATCTTTATTGATATGGATGTATGCGTGAGAAAGAGTGAGAGAATAAATAGAATGTAATTATAGATAAAGTTAATCAATAACTGGTGAAAAAATAATTCCATGTACTTAATCGTACAACTAGAATACATAGGCGCATAAATTAAATTGTGAATGATGAATACTTTCAGTTGTAATTGTTTCGAATTTGCAGGCTGGAACTGCCGAATGTTTGTAAATCACTGCATAAAAATAATTGTCTTACGTGTTAGTCGTCTTTTAGTAGATTATTTACTTCAACAAAATTTTGCTTATTTTAAAGTCAACTGTTTTCTCAGCTTTCATTTTACTCGATAAGCATTTCAGTCTTATTGTGAGCATTTTCCATGACGTTACTGAATTAAAATTTTTTTGGATCTCTAAGAAGAATAACTAAATAAGTTATTTTTCTAATTTGAACTGTTAGTTTTCCCATTTGTATTGGTTGTTTTGATGTCCTCAGTGATTTCTAGAACTGCAATTAATCAATCTCTTTGGCATATGGGCCATCCTATGCGGATCGCCACATTATATAGCCATTAGGTTATAAGCATTCTTAGCAGAGGTAAATAGTAGCTAGCAGTGGAATCTAGTGGATGGTAGTGGGTTCGAGTCCCAGAGTGAACATCGAATCTGTGATGCTGAGACATCTAGTTGACGAGTCCATTGTTAGCTGCAATCCACCTCTGCTAATAATGTTAGTGTTTTGTTTAGAACACTGGTGAAAGGCGTAAAAATAAGCAAGTTTGAAGTAAACACTTTCTATTTTAATAATATTAGCGATTCTCGGTAAGTGTAAGCTCACTTATGTAGAACAACGAAGAATATAGATGTTCATTAAGTTTTTAAGCCATATTTTTATATTATAGTAAAAATGGTATATTAGTTTGTAATTTTTAATAAGAAATAATATGTTTTTACTCTCATTGTTATGATGTGCAGTATTCGAAACTGATATTAATATACAGACTTCCTATACGCAGGCTCTCAAGTGAGCAAGAAAACTAAGAGTGAAGGACATTTACCGGAGTAAACCGAATTAAGTGCATAAACACACACACGTAGATATATATATATATATATATATATATATATAGAGAGAGAGAGAGAGAGAGAGAGAGAGAGAGTGAGATAGAGATTTCTTATGAAACCAATCAATTTCTTGACCAATGACATGCACTTGTTATTAGAAAACTTTTGATTGTCGTAACGTGACTTTCATCTGAAGAAACCCTAATGAAACCATCCAAATGCGTATCACTAGTTCAAGCGTTAGGTTATGGAGCGATTCGTCAACACTGTGTTCTTCATCAAAATAAATGTGTGAATCATTATCATTCACAAGATAAAAACAATTTACTGAAATTATAATCTTTTGTATGCGCATAACATAGTTTGAACTATCATGTAATTATTCTGGATTGATTGCGCTTAGTTAATCATGAATCTGTGAGACAACTCACTTCTTTTATCAAAGCTCTTTATATAAATTATCATACTTCACACATTTTTAAAGTGTTTCGCACATAACATACGTTGAATTATGGCTAGCACTGGTGTTTCTTCTTATTTGGAACTCATCATCTGAATTCAACTCAAGTTCACTATTGATGTTTCATATATTGCTAACGGCAAACATTAATGAACTGTAATGATGACTTAATAATTCTCAGTAATTCAACGAAAATTAATCATACTACATTTGCGTTTGTGTTTCGTTTTTAAATATGACATTTTGCATCCATCTGAAATACACTGTAGAATATGATAATAAGAAACATTTATTTTTAATTTAAAAACAACTTTCACAGCTTAAAAATGCCAAATAATGAAACATATTAGTTAACAAACTTTAATTCAAAGAAATAAATCCTTCAAAATTCAACAAGAACGTAATAATGACATTTAAAAAGAGTTATTGTCAGACTAAAAACAAATCAAGAAGCATATTCCTTTTACAGATATTGTATTCTGATGATTGCATTAATATTTCTTTACGGGTGTTGCTTGTATTCAGTACTTGGTTTTACAGGTTTATTATTGGTTCACGTGAACAAAAATACGTTCCCATTTATATTTTCTTTCAGTTCATACCATTAACTACAAAATTTATGTTTCATCCATCAATTTCAATCAAAATGTTTCTTTTGTTGAAGTTTAATTTAATTGAAACATGGATGAATTTAAAATATATAAATTAACATGTAATGTTTTGTGGTTTATTGGTTTTTTAAGTTGGTGTTTCAACATCTTAATGCATTTTAAGTGTTAAAGTTTGAAACATTATGTATTATATTTGTCATCTAATTGTGAATTATCCATTAGAATTGTTTATAACTTTGATTTTCATCATGAATACAATAATAACACAAATAATAATAAACAAAACTTAGTATTGATAAAGATAAACACTATTAAAATAAACATGTAATTTCTACTGTTATACATTCCAGCATTATTCAACACACAACTAAATCTGACATAAACTAACTTTATCTGGTTTAATTAATATTCCCAAATGCCAATAATCATCATTCCATGGAATGGAGAATTCCACTTCTTTTGAATTACCATCAAATGATAATGGATTATATGTGAAAATTATCTGATAGGTAGTGTACTGTAGACAAAACAAAGTGTAAACAAAATCAATGGAGTAGAAATAAACAAACTACATTAAAGAAACAGAGGAAAAATATGTAAAATGTGAAAAAGAAAACAACAAGGTTACACGTAGTATTTAAACGATGCAGCTTTGCATAGAAAGTGAGTGTATATGCATATATGTGTATATATGGAGAGAGAGAGAGAGAGTATCTATTGATGTAGTATTATTATTAGTAAAAAAGGAATTGTGTTTCATGTTTGAAAACATTTCATACACGAAATCGATAATTGTTAAATTGAACTGGTATTAAAGATATAATTTGCAAAGTATTTTTCTTAAGCAAAATTGACTTTTGCATCTTTTCACCAGAAAATTTACTTTAGACATCATGTCTATTTAAATGAAAGAGTAAAGTTCCTGTTTCATGTTCACTAAGTTTATAGCCCTAATTAATTGTAGCGAATTCGAATCAAGTTCGTTGGTTTAAGTCAAACAAAACCTATAGTCGTAGTTTTAGAGCTCGTTACCATAGTGTTTTCTGTTTGTTGCACAAATCATCAGGTAAGAATTTAGTCAGCACTTTAAAATCCTTGCCAACAATAACAACACCGAAAGTAGTATATGTTATCTACTGATGCTAATTAATAATTATCGTTATCTGTTAGCTCAAAGTATAGAACTCATCTGTTAGGACTCAATTAATTTTGATTAGAATCTTAAACGAAACATTATTATAGATTTTTGTACAGTAGGTGAAAGACTTCTCAACAGTATCAAATTTGTGTCCAGTTTAAATGTCTCTAGTGTCGACAAAATGTACAGGAATACACCTACCCTGTTTCAAGATAAGAAAATGTTCATACACCTTGTGCTATATGAAATATGATTCATAATTGCTATTTGCAATAATTATAAATAATGGATTGAATTTCAGACTATTGTTTCAAAGAGTCGTGTTTAAGTCTTTCTAGTTGTTTTGTTATAGTTGTATTTTGATAAGTGATTTTACATCAAAAATATTTTATTTGGCATTAAGTTAAGTTTAGAATAAATACTGACTGACACTAGAAGGTATAACATGGTATAAGTTAGAGTAGAAATTATCTTTGAGTAAGTGAGACTTTCTTCAGTCCTATTCACAACAACATTATGACATCACCGTTGAATGAACTCTCATTACATTTTTTTCCGCACAGTTCGTGAGATAAATTTTCTAACAGGAGATCAAAGGATGTTAAATAAGTCAGAGAGACTAATCAAGATTATATTCGGACCTGACATAAAATCTTAACTTTAATAGATCAGTAGTATTATCACTAAAAATGATATATTTTAAGGAAAGTTATCAAAACGTTTTGCTCGTTTCCATATTTAAAGATTGCTAATTTCTATAGTTGGAACATGATTTTTTGTAGATGTTATACGGTTCAAGGCTGATATTCACTATAAACTCACTTCATCTAGAGAACATCTTTCTTGTCGTGATATGAAATGCCTTATTCGTGCACATTTGGAAACGTTTACATGGGGTTAGATTCCAATATTTATTATTGAAAGCTATTAAACAACTGAGTTTTTTTAGAATTATTTAAAATAATCTGAAATGTTCTTGTTTCGGGAGAATTCGTATTATCACAGAACAATTAATTAATTACTCGAGCATCATAAGAAAAGATGGATAGTGGCTAGCAGTAGGATACAGGATTCGCGTTTCATCATATTTGGGATTCATCTTTAGCTAGATGTACGTGCATCCCTATGTTAATATTTACTCCGGAACTTGAACCCGATACCTTTCGTGACATACGCCATCGCCTTATCCACTTGGCTACTGAGTCCTGTTAGTCAATCGTTTGTGTAATGAGATGAAGAATAATTCATTTTCTTTGATGTTTAATACTGTAATTAATCAGTCTCTTTGACATATGCGCATCCTGTACAGATTGTTTAAATATTGCCATTAAGTCATAAGCATTATTAGCAGGGGTGTACTTTAGCTAGCAGTGAAATCTAGGATTCGTATTTTGTCCTCTCTGGGACTCATCATGATAGCTATATGTCAAGTGATACTCATCATCTGCAGTTCTAACTATCAATGAGACTATTCCATGTATCAACACGAATGAAAAGTTAAGAAAAAATTCACTTTAAATCATATATCCTATTGTGAATTATTGGGAAATAATTTTGATGACATAAAATTCTATTTAATCAAGCCTAGAATTTATTTATTGAGGCAAAAAATCTATTATTCTGAATATTTATTCATCTCCTACTTTTTGTAATTAAAATGAAGTACAATACACCATAAAAATGTTTTCGCTATTTATTGATGCTGTTTCTTATTAAATAGTAATCAGTAAATTTAGTGCTCAAAAACAACAGTCATTATACAACCAACTGAATAATATAATATCTATTTTTCTCAGCAGTGATTCACTAGTGGGTAATCTTTTTTACGAACCTAACTAGGAAAGGATTAATTAGTCCAGATTTTAAAATCCTTTTAATTATCAACCAGTGAACTATCATCAGAGTTACTTGTTTCGATTTGAACAATAAAATGGTTGGTAACTACAGCATTAAGGTTCTTGTCTTTATGCTGTAATCTGACAACCTTCATTAATTAAAAATTAAGTCATCGTGATAAATTAAACCAATATTATATTGTATACTGTGCTGTATACTCTTGTTGTGTGATAGAAAGTATTGAGCGGAACAATTATTTAATAATTAAATTTTAAATGTGCTAGTCAATGAACCTTATTTTTCGCCTCATAATCATTCTTCTTAGTTAAATAAATCCAATCTCAGCTTAGAATTTGAAGTGAATTTGCATCAGCAAGAATTGCTATAATTCAAACTACAGAGATGTGGATCAGAGGAGTTATGGTGAAATTTATGCAGAAAGTAGCGTTCAGAATGAACAGTTAGTTATAAAATCAGACCAGAAATCAAGGTTCAACGAATTTGATTCGAGTTCATTTGTTGCTTAAAGACTGATTTTAAGCTGTCCACACTATCTTGAGGATATTACGCATGAAATTTGTATCTCATGACAAGACTCTGATGGGAATTTGGCGACTTTAAATATTTGTTCTTTATCTTTGTCCTACTATCCCAATAAGTTTTCAAGATTACCCTTTTGCTCACTATCAGATCACGTTGGGTTAGGCGGTAGCTAAATTCTAATAATGCCAGTGTTATTTATCTCGAGTGATAAGGGTCAGAGGACACATAGACTAATTTTACATCTCAATTCAGAACCCAACTTGAAATTCAGAATAACTCAGTACTTTCCGTTTATCTTTACTGATATAACCTAATCTTTGCCCTTAAAACTGAAAGAAGCGAATGTTACTAATATATTTCAGCTAGAATGAGAAATTAATACACAAGCATCAGAATATAGCCTATAAATCGATTCATCTCCAAAAAACGGACTTAGTTTTCAATCATGTATGTAATTTTAGACAAATCAACTGTTTCTGTCTCTCTCAAAGTCAGAGAGCCACTCATACGTAAGTACTTGATAAATAGGTTAATGTGTTATATCATTTTGCTTCTACGGACCTTTTTATGAGTATATAATTTTAGCTTAAGAATTCCTTATAAATTAGTTTGAAAATGGATTTTCTGAAGTGCTAGCGTTAATTTGTAACCAATCTATTAAATTACTCCGGAAGTGAGATAGTTTATTTATGTCTGACTGCTGTTGGATTACTGAAAAATGAATTGGCATCTGAACTTTTTTTTTAGTTGTCATGAAATCTAGGAATTTCAGGTTAAATCGTTGTGAAGTGGTGGGTTCACACACCTAAGGAGTCCAAAAGTTGAAGAGTAGTTTTAATATTTGCACGAAATAAATATATATGCTGTACTTAACGATATATTTGTTCTGTACCAGAAGTTAGTCGTCACATATGAATAAATAATACTTTTATTGCTTTAGGTTGTAGTGTAAGTTTTCTAGTATTTGTTCACCTGTATCAAAATGTACATTTTACAATCACCATATTTTGTAGCTTTGATCTGTACGATATTTCTCCACTTTGAACTACTTTCAGTCTCCTGGGAAAATATTTTTTTTTTGTGCAGAATGTGCTACATGAACTACCCTATATATATATATAAGACATATAAATCGCTCAGTTGTTTAAAGGAACTGTTTTATCATTGAACTTACTTCAACAATTCTCAATCCAAGTCTTAACACATTATCTGGATCACGTATACTGAATAAATATAATCCATGTTGAATAGCTGTTTTATTTGGTTTAAATATTAAATGAATAAAAAATGTTTCATTTGGTAATTGTGATTGTGGAAATAAACGTAATGCTGGTACACTGTATAAAACATCACCTGAAGGTTTTTGAATTTTAATAGGAAAATCTTCATCTGCACGTGCTATATCATAACGACGATTTAATAAATAAGTTATATCCCAATTAAAACCTAAGAAGTAAAGAAACAAATGATAAAGTTGGAAATTTTTATTTTTACAGAGAACATAAGTTGAAATTTACATGATTATGACTTTCCTTTTTTAATAATTAACGATGACATTATGAAAAGTGATGGTTATTTTAATGTGATATTCTTTAGTATAGCACGTCACATTTACTTTGTACTTTTATCATTGTTGAGCTTGTATGCGCATGTATGCTTGGGCATTACTTACCAGCTACGCATATGGCTATTTGACTCGCTTTATCGATCAACTGTTGAAATAATTCGGTGGCAATATTGACTATATATATTTAAAATAAATCCGATATTTGTATCAATCATTAATTATTTTGAATAATAAATAAATTGTGGCAACTATTCGTGTTCTATAGTAGCGGTTGTAGCATCTCACAACTCATTCATTGTACTTTAATAAGTAGTCGTTTGAATTATTCGATAATTGTATCGACCATAATTTTGTATTTGTAATAATTTGATTACAGTATCGATTATTGTATATTTGATTGTGTGTGTGGATGCTTACTCACTTATCACATGTGTAGCCTATTATTGCTTGACTATAAATACTTAGCCATTCTTCAGCTCATAGAGAGTTGGCTCACTCGCCTTCTCCGATTCGCTCGTACGCTTCTCTTCTTATGTTTGTCTGCACAAATGAATGCATGAAATAAATTCATCCGCAACACCATATGTGGCTTCTTACTACCACCGTCGCACAAACAGGGTTAGCCTAATTATATAATATACGGAAGTGGAAAGGAATACTTATTTCATTGCACACTCGATCATTCGTCAACATTGGAGTCCAGTGGTGAGCCGCTAAACGGTCATCAAGACGGAGATATACGGAATTTAGACGATAAAGAAAGTCCAACGCCACGATGGTACAATATGGAAAGTAAAAAATATGGGGATTTTTTTAAACTCATTATCAATTTTATGCATTAGCGCACAGCTTTGAAGCATCATTTTCACTCTACTTCAATTAATTTAGTTAATGATAATTTAAAAAAATATAGCCATTGTTCTTAGTTTGAAAGGATACTTATTGGAACATAGAAAAGAAAAAGAATACTTTTTGAAAAAAAATGCACTTAAATGCTTAATAGAAATGTTATTTTACTTTGAAACTGATTATCAACAACTAATTGCATCTATTGTAGAACTGAATAAAAGTAAGCAGAATGAAAAATGAGTGAGCGGAAAATATTGTTTTCAATTAGATCATAACCAGGCTTTACTCTAATAGACATGAATATTTCTATGAAAATACTAAACTAATCAAAGCAATTTAATAACAATGATTTGGATTACATAAATATACATAATAGGTGGAAGTACAAGTTGACAATAGGAAGGCTGGTGTACTGTTAGTGCTAAGGATAATAAATTACAATAATAAAAGCTTTATTCAATAGTTCAACATTGTAAGTTGTAGGTCAAATGTGGATCAATAGACTTAAAATCCTATTCACAAAGCAATATTAGAATTATGTAATAAGAAGCGTGCAAACAGAAGTAAGTCGCTTATTTTGGACTACTTTGATACATCAACGGATTTATCTGTCATTTAAACTATATTGAATGAATAGTGTGTAGGTTTGCTGAAAAACGTCTCGACTTATATAAAAAGTAAAAGTATTACTCTCTAACGTTTTCAGCTTATTCTTCTCGTTAAAATTTTCAAACTAACCAAAATACCATTATTCTGTATTAAAAACACATTACGCATAAATCATACAACCTCTTATTGTTTATTATGTAACTTAATTCATTTTGAATTTTTTTGAATAAATCGTCTATAAAATTTTAAGTAAATATATAGTATTCTCAAAATATTAAAACTTATTGTCGCATATTTTAAATAACTAGTGTATGCCAAATATTTGTGTAAAGGGAAAGTATTATAAATGAAGAATTAAATGGGTTCTAGTGAAAAGTCATGACTAGGGGATTTCAACCTTGTCGGGTGTGAGGCGGTTGCCTACCTAATACAATGGATGAGGCCGCAGAATATCGTAGATTCGTCAAAGTTACACATTAACACCGTTGAATGCCGGCTCACTGGTCTAGAGGTTAAGCGTTTGCGTGTGAGACTGAAGGTCCCAGGCTCGATTCCTGCGTGCGGAGGTCGTGGATACGCGCCGCTGACGAGTTTCTTACTAGTACGGAATGGCCGTCCAGTGCTTCTAGGTTCCAAATGATGGTCTAACAATGATTTCAATGAAACTTATCAATCTCCACAACCCAATAATGAAAATCATATGGTTAGACAGACTGCAACGTCGATTATTGTTCATTCACTACTAGTACTAATCATATTCAATTCATATAGATTCAAGGGACTACAGTGTTCAGAATTCTTAAATACGAACCAATGAAATGTCTTTTAATCATTGATAGTCAGTTGTTTCTCATTTCAAATCTATTCGTGATGAAAATCATTTACATAATTAATGGAATAAAAATTTGTTTAATGATGTAAGATAACTAACTATTAATAGCCGATTTGATGAATTACAAATAAATAAATTTAATTGAGTGTGTATGATAACCAGGTTGAAATGAACTAAGCACTGGGTGGTAGTTTTATCATTCTTTAAAACACTTATTTTGACTGACTAGTTCTTAAAAAACAATTATTCTTAGACTTAATATTGAGTCTGTCCATAAATATATATAAATCTCTATAGACATTTAAATCTTGCATTCAATCTGTATCTGTTATTATTTAAAGTTTTATATTTTACAATTTATTTGGACATATTTTTCACATTTGCTTAGATCATGTATCATTTTGTACAGTCATATACCAATATACATATTGTATAAAATGTATTCACGAAATTCCAACAATCGGAACACTATGAACTGAAAATTAAACTTTAAAAAAAGAAATAATCTGTTATTAATGACATGTTGAACTTTATTTTTATTTGCTTCAATATATAATTATTAAATAATATAGTGAATAGAATTCGTCTGATAGTTGAGTGTTGATTTGAAAATGTGTAAATAAAATAGAGTGAAAAATGTATGATTATTGAAAGGGGAAAAATAATTTACTAGAAATGGAATTTGTTTTTTAAACAAATATTGGTGATTAAGCTATTTAATAATGTTTACAAAATAAGGGAAACTAATTTAAATTACTTTGTTTAGACTATGAAGTTCATCGGCAGGTATTTTAAATATCGAGATCTTATATCAACTGGAGTAACCTTTGAAAACTTGTGTATGATGTCATTTTGGGACTTTGTATTATGACCATTACAGGATTCCACACATGATCAAACTATTTACACAACACAACGAGTATATTGTCATTCATTCAGAACTTACCCGCTTGTGAAACTGAATCGAAATCAGATCATGTAGTGTTTAACAATTCACTAACTCATTAGTATCAATTCGACTAGGAGTAACCTAAAGTTATCTCTTTGTGGTTTATAACTCAGCGAATGACAAAGTTTTCACCTTTATTTAAAACTCACTTAGGAAAATTAAACCGTAGACCCATCATCTAATTTAATTGTGATGTGTCTTTATGCCTATAAATTGTGTTCGGATGTGCAGGAGCACATGTCCATTCAAATGAACGGATCCATATATTCAATTTTTACGTCATTTGTAGCTAAAGTATTTTTATTCCTACGATTTCTTCTCCTTGTATATACTGATTCCGTTGAAACCATTGAATACCCCAAGGAATCAGCGTGTTGTGATCACAAATGAACATAATGTTTCAAATAGACAGCAATAGTTATTTTTTAACGATAAAAATTTCTGCATGAAATCAATTGAGGAATTTTGGAAGTTAATTATTTATTTTATCGAATTTAAGTTATCCTAGTTCCAATAAAATACCATATATGTATATAATGATCCACTTTTGAAATGATTAACTGAACTACATTGGTTTATATCCTAGCATGATTGAAGTTTACTCTCAACTTTACTCATCAGCTATGCAACTGAAGTTTAATTTAAAATAAATCAAGAAAAAAGATAAAAGTCATATTACATTGAGTCTTAATACCTTCGATGTTTTTGAAATTACCGTACAAATTTAGTCAACTTTCTATTTCTTTTGGTTGGTAAAGTTAGCAGAGTTGTATAATGTTCAATTTTGAGTGAACATATACTCAGGTTTGTTAAAAGAAATTTTGCGATAAATAAGTGAATCTTGCACAAAAGTGGTAATATGTTAGGAAAATCATCATATTCATAATCCTTTTAATTTGATTCTGTAAAATGATGCACTGAAAAGTAGTACATTTCAATAGCTGACTAAAGTTAAAGCCTAAACTTATTGAACACTGGTTTTTTCTTTATATCGGTAGATTTTCTAATGCCATATAGAATAAAGTGATCGAAACTTCGTAATAGTTTTAAAATATCTCAGAAAGTGATAACAACGATAATTTTGATTAGGCCTGAATAATTACTTCTATTTTGTTGGTGATTAAATTTATACATTTGAAATCATCAATCAATCATTGTTAGACCACCATTAGAAATCTGGAAGCACTGGACGGCCGTTTCATCCTGGCATGGAACTCATCAGCAGTGCGCATCTACGACTCCTGCTCCTCGCAGGATTCGAACCCAGGACCTTCGGTATTGTGCGCGAATGACTAACCATCGGATTAAATTTATGCCGAAAAGTCGTTGAAATTTCTTTTTCGTTCCTTCTATATTTATACCTTCATATAGTTTCATTTAAAAACTCATTTTAGGCGAATATTTACATTTTTGTTTTTATCATTGTGTTTGTAGTTTAGATGCATTTTTTTGTCTACATGCAATTTCTTTGTCTTTTGTTCACTAATTCAATACTAAATAAAAAAGGCAGGCTAAATTATATCTTGTCATTAAAAAACCTTGATTATTCAATATGAAGTACGTGTATGTATGTACATATTCATGTATATTTTTTGTATCATGATTAATTTAAATGCGTATGTTTTCACGATGTTAAATTC